CCCCTTGAGTTTCCCTTGTAAGGACTCATAAGAACTTTAATATCATAATTCGTGGCCCATATTTGGATTTTTGCAGCTTGAGCTCTGAAGCTGCTCGCAGAACAAAGCTTTGTTCTTTCAAGTTCCGGAACTGCCCGCAGAGCCAGCAGCCCCCCTGTGCTGATTGTACTGTTTGATAAATTGTACTCCTTGCATTGTTGTTAAATAATATTCCCTGTACTATGACTGTGTGATCAAAGACAGTTTTTGTTGTGCAGGCCTGGGCTGAAGCTAGGATTGGAAAAATGCTTAATCATATATTACCCACTGTTCTCACAACTCCACTTGCTTGATCACTGAGTCAGAAAACCATTAAAGTCCAGTTGCCCTCACCAATCAGAAAACAAATGACGTACATTTGTAGTCTTGTTCCCCTAGCAACCCATCCCTTTGATCGTCAGCAACCTGCAACTTTTGCCTTTATAAACCCTGCCCTACCCCCTCGTTTTTGGAATGTATTCTCAGTTCATACCAAGGACTGTTTCCAGGTTTGCAAATTCTTACCTGAATAAATTCTCTATATATTTTTTTAAGTATCTCCAGATTTTTGTTTATACTTGCTGCTGTTGTTTGCCTTTTTGTATGAACTTGATAATCAATTGTCACTTAAAGGGAAAAAATATCTAACTATTTTTATTAGGATTGTGAAACTTTTGTAGAGTACTTTGGGAGATTGATATATTTTTCATTTGAGTCTTTCTATCCAAGACCATGGATATATATGTTATGTCTTTCCATTTATTCAAATCTACTTTTTATCTTTCAAGAATGTGCTATGGTTGCCCTGGTCAGATGCTCGGTTGTTTAGCACATCATCCTGATATGCCAAGGTTGTGGGTTCAGTCCCTGATCAGGGCACATATAAGAAGCAACCAATGAATGCATAAATAAGAACAACAAATCTATGTTTCTCTCTCTCCCTCTCCCTCTCCATCCCCCCCCCTCTCAAAATAAGTTTTTAAAAGAATGTGCTATGGGTTTCTTTATATATACTTTACACATTCCTTGTTAAGCTTCTGCCTCAGTATTTTACTTTATCTTATTCCTCTTATAAATAGGTTTTCTCTTTCATTATATTCTTAAACTGGGTGGTATTTGTATATATGAAAGCTATTGTTCTCTGTACATTTCTTTTAATTCTTGTCAATTTTCCAAATTCTCTTCGTTGTTTGTAGCACTTTTCCTGTTGCCTTTCCTCCTAGATATACCATCATAACATCTGTACATAGAGATAGTTTTACTTCATGCTTTCCAGTTTTTATGTTTCTAATTGTTTCCGGCAATATTGCAAAGTCAACGTTTCGGTTATAACGAAGACTGTGAATATTCCTGTCTTACCTCTAGAAACGTTTGCAGGAAAGCCTCTAGAATTTCCAAATTAAGTTAAATGCTATTTTGGGGCGGAGGTATATCCATTTTGTTATGCATTGTAGGTATCAATTTTTTATCTTATTGAGTGTCAAACTTTTTTTTTTATATCTGTTGGGACGATTATATGATTTCTCTTCTTAACTCTGTGAAATTGATGAATTATATTATGATTGTACTAATATATTAATGAATATATTAATAACCACTCTTGCCCTCCTGAAATAAGCACCACAGTGGAGTTGGTTTTATTGAGTCTAACAAGCTTTGCCTTTAAAGTCTTATATCAATTTACATCTAATCTAATTAACGATGTGGCTATACTAGCTTAAGTCTACAATCTTGTTATTTGTTTTCTAATCATTCCCTGTTCTTTGTCCCTCTTTACCCTTTATCCTGTTTTCTTTTTGGATTAATTGAATATATTTCTTGGCTCCATTTTATCTCCACTGTTGGCTAAAGCAGTTATTTTTTGTTGTTGTTTTTTAAGAGTTGCTCTAGTATTTACAATACAACTTCTGCCCTGGCCTGATAGCTCAGTTAGTTAAAGTGTTGTTCTGATTCGACAAGGTTGTAGGTTCGATCCCTGGTCAGGGATCATACAAAAATCAACCAATGATGAATGCATAAATAAGTAGAATAGCAAATCAATGTTTCTTTCTCTTTCCCTTCCTCTCTTTCTCTAAACCAATCAAAAAAATTTTTTAAGTAAATCTTTAAATGATCCCGATGTACTTTCAAACCCTATTAAAATACTTTATGGAAAATATGAGATCCTTACAGTAGATATTTCCATTTATCACCTCCATCTTCTGTGCTATTCTTGTCATGTATTTTACTTGTACATTTATTATAAACCCCATAATACAATGTAAACAGTCAGTTATCTTTTAAAGACGTTAAAAGTGAGAAAAACTCTGTTTTACATTTCTTCTTGTATTTTATAAAGCTGCTTTTCTGGTTAACAACATCATTAGCTGGAGGCAGACTAAATTCTGCCAGTGCATTTTTTACTCTATTTTGGCCAGATATAAAGGCCTTAATTGCCAAGTTATTATTATAAATCAGAAATGCCCCATTAATTTTGTACAGTGTTGCCCTTGTGGGATGCTTTTCATCTCAGTCAGTCAACAATTTACACACACGAAATTGATGACATTTCTAGGGGCTAGAATCCAGGTTTACTGAGGTGGTCAATTGAGCATTGAAACAATGAACAATTATTCACTTGCTCAGCTTCTCTCTGTTCATTCATTAGTTAAACGTGAATTAAGCATTACCTAAGTGTCCAACTCCGACTGAGATACTGACAATACAGAGAAAAAGAGGTGCTGTCCCTTCCTCTGGAGGATCTCCAGATATAATAGGTTTTAACGAAAAGGACTGAAAGTAGCCTTTAAAATGCATTAATCAGCATTTTCCTCCTCAGCACCTACAGTCATTTCTGCCATAATACTTTGTACTCTAAGTTTTATAACTTGGTAATAATATGGATAATGTTAAATTATTATTATGAGCCCTGGTCGGTTTGGCTCGGTGGTTAGAGCGTCGGCCCGCGGACCAATGAGACTCGGGTTTGATTCCAGTCAAGGGCATGTGCCTCGGTTGTGGTTGGTCCCCGGCCCTGGTTGGGCTTGCAGGAAGCAACCAGTCAATGTGAATCTCTCACATCGATGTTTCTCTCTCCCTCTCTCCCTCCCTCCTAATCTGTCTAAAGATAGATGGAAAAATATCCTTAGGTGAGGATAAAAAAAATTATTATGATGATAACAATAATGCAGTTACCAGTTTCCTTATATACATTTTATTCATCTCATCAGGACAGCCTTTTAACCCTAGGACAACCCTAGGAAGTATGCTTATTCTGACTTTACAGCGGAGAAAAATGAGGCTCGAAGAGTGATTTGCCCAGTCACAGCTACCAAGTGGGACTGGATTTAATCCAGGTCCAGCTAACTCTGGACCACCTGGTCTGCCAGAAACAAGCAGAAAAAGTTGTACCAAGATTTCTGCTCTGCTTTTTATCCTGCACCAGAGGGGTCGGGGCATACTGTGGGTGGTAGACAAATACTTTAAAAGAACGAAGAGGAAAGGAAACAATCAGCAGAGTAAAAAGGCAACCTATGGAATGGAAAAAATGTTTGTTAATCATATAACTGATAAGGAGTTAATATGCAGAATACATCAATTACTAACTCCTACAACTCAACACCAACAAAACCACTTGATTGAAAAATGGACAACAAAAGTCCTGGTCAGTGTGGCTCAGTTGGTTGAGTGTTGTCCCATGCACCAAAAGGTCGCCAGTACAATTCCCAGTAAGGGCACATGTCCAGGTTATGGGTTCCATCCCCAGTCGGGGACGTGCAGGAGGCAGCCTGTGATGTTTCTGTCTTATCGAAGTTTCTCTCTCTCAAATCAGTAAAAACATACTTTTTAAAATGGGCAACAAATTTGAAGACGTTTTTCCAAAACAGATATGTGAGTGACCAATAAACACATGAAAAGATGCTCAACATCAGTAATCATTAGAGAAGTGCAAATCAAAACTACAGTGAGATATCAGCTCACATCCACTAGGATGACCACTTAAAAAACAAACAGAAAAGAACAACTGTTGGTGAGGGTGTGGAGAAATGGAAACCTTTATGTACTGCTGGTGGGAATGTATGATAGTGCAGCAACCATGGAAACTAGTATAGAGGGTGTTAAAACATTAAAAACAGAATTGCTGTATATTCAATAATCACACTATGGGTATAAATCCAGAAGAACGGAAAGCAGGACCTTGAGCATAGATTTGCGCACCCACATGATTGCAGCATTATTTAGAAAGCCCAGAGGTGGAAGCAACCCAAATGTCCACCAAGGGATGAATGGATAAAGAAAATGTAGTATATACATAGAATGGAATATTATTCAGCCTTGAAAAGAAGGGAATCCTGTCGCATGCTACAGCATGGATAAATTTTGAGGACATTATACTAAGTGAAATATGTCAGTCACAAAAAGAGAATTACTGTATGATCCTACTTATATGAAGTAGTTAAACTCATAGAGACGAAAATTTAATGGTGGCTGCCAGGGGCTGGAGGCAGGGGAAACGAGGGCATTGCTCAATAGATACAGTTTAGGTTTTTCAAGATGAAAAAATTCTAGAGAGCTGTCACATAGCACTGTGGATACAGTTAACACTTCTGAGCTGCACACTCAAAAAATGGTTAAGAAGGTAACATTTATGGTTTTTCTTTACCACAATTTTAAAAAATTGTTTTAAGAACAAAGAGGAGGGCAGCCCCGTGGTGCGCTCTTCACATTCGAATTTGTTTCGCTAAAAAATAAAATAAAATAAATCAAGGAGCCTTGACATCAGTTCTCCAATCACAGAGCCTCAAGAGTTGCAGCCTTCCTTTTCCCACACAAGGAAGGACCGCTAGGTTCAGCCAGGTGTCGCCCTCCTCGCGGGGCCCTCGCCCCGCCCTCGCCCCGCCCACAACGAGTTTCCTCCAATCGTGTCCCTAGCCCCGCCCCTGCCCGAGCTTCTTTCCGGCATCCGGGCCTGGGTGGGCTGGCTCTGAAGACTAGCTGGCAGCATGGAGGTGCACGGTGAACCCCAGTCCAGACCGAGTTCTTCCTCGTTCCCCAAGGATGGCTCCAGGGTCTCGGTGTCCAAGGAGCTGCTAACGGCGGGGAGCGGCGGCCGCGGAGGTGACGGGCGAGCGGCAGCAGCGGGGGGCGCGCACGTGCGGTGTGGGGCACGCGGCTGGAGCAGCCGGGAGGACCTTAGGACTGCCCAGGCCCGACATCCCCGAGGGGAGCCCCGGGGGTGACCGCAGGGCTACCGCGTGTGCGCCGCAGGGGGGTCGCGGGCGGACAGTGTGCACCGGGCCGCAGTGCTGGGGGTGGCTTTATGTTCCGCGTGGTATTGAGCGCCCATTGCCAGAGCAAGACACCTCCCCTAAGGGGAGGACCTTAGGGTCGGCTGTCTGGGTCCAAGCAGTTGGCTGGTCCGGGAACAGATAATTGTTATAGATTACCCCACCATCCCCACCGCCACCCCTTCATACTCAAGGAATTCTTAGTGTCGCCTTCTTGTAGAGGGAGACGTGGGTCCAGGGAATTCACACAAGATTTCAGACACCATAATAGAGAATTTAAAATGATGAATTGGAATCCCAGCCCCACTAGTAATTAGCTGTGGGACTTTTCAACGCCCCAGTTTTCACATTTGGAAAATGGAAGTAGTAGTACCAATAGAATTAATTGTGAGAGAATTTAATCCTCACAACATCCCTGTGCAGAAGGTTCTTTTATCTCCATTTTATAGAGGAGGAAACAGTTGTGGTGTAGCATACAAGTAAGTGACTTGCCAGACATCATGAGGCTGGGGAGGAACAAAACTGGAATATGAAAATCCAGTCAGTCTGCCTCCAGAATCCAAGCTTTTAACACTAAATCAATCTCTAGGCCTAAAGTAGTAAGCACCCAATGATTGTGGAGCTCTGCTTTGTGGGCAAACAGGATTTTTGTATCAGAGGGAGGAGATTTTGCAGATTTTGGAAACTGGTGCAAAGCCTTGAGTTTTGAAAGACAAGTCCTGTTTTCTGAGCCCCCATAAGCGGAAGAGTTGGGTTGACTCGAGGAGCAGTGAGTGATGAGACTGAATTAGATGGAGTGGGGGGACCATATTTCTCCGAAAGGCTGTTTTGTTTAGGTTGAGAGCATCTTTAATGAAGGGGAACTAACCAGGCAGGCATGTTTTACACATGAAGAAACGAATGCTCAAAATGGTTAGGTAATTAGCTCAATACAACACAACTAGTAAACATTTCCGGCTTCACTTAACCATTATTGTACTCTACTGTTTCCTTCATTCTGTCATTGCAGACCCGCTTTTGTCATGGATGGATTTCTGATCCAGAAAGGTGCTGTTTAATGCGCATTTATTACTCAGCATCCGTGACACAAAGATGTAGGAGACAGGCTTACAAAAGGGAAGATAGATGTACATAAAGAACAAAAATATTGTAATGGAACTTGGGGTGCTCCTCCTTTTTAAAATCATCTTGAGAAATGTCAGATGGTCAAGACGAGAGTGGTCACAGAAAGTTTGCTGATGAGCTCCTATTTATGCTGTAATAAATTGTGTATATGTTTGTGTTTTTCAGGTATATGGGACAGATTGCTCATCAACTCCAAGCCTAATTCCAGAAAAAATTCCACGCTTCAAACAGTTCGGATAGAGAGGAGTCCTTGTAGGTACCCTCCCTTCTCTCTCTTCCTCTCTCTCAAGAAATCTCTCTGATGTTAAATTCTGCCTAACTAAGCAGTTATTTGATGGGACCATCTCTGCCTTCATGGTCAGATATTAAACCACAGAAAACCTTACTTGGGATTTATATTGTGAATTCTGTGCACAGGGATAGCATTCTTACATATTCTTCTGCTTTAAGACAGTAACTTTTCCCAGAAAAACTCCTTTTAGGAGAAATTTTTGGAAATCAAAATTAATTGTTGTTAATCACTTTGGGAACATTTTTAAAAAGTTAACCCAAATTATGGGATTTTTAAAAATATGTTTTTATTGATTTTCGAGAGAGAGAGGAAGGGAGAGAGACATAGAAACATTGATGTGAGAAACATCAGTGGGCTGCCTCCTGTACATCCCCTACTGGGGATGGAGCCTGAAACCTGGGCATGTGCCCTGACCGGGAATGGAACCGGGACCTCTCAGTCCATGGGACGACGCTCAATCCACTGAGCCACACTTGCCAGGCTGTGGAGAATTATTTTAGAGGTTACTGAGCCCAAACTTAAAGCACATATATGAGAAAACACCACTACATTTCACTAAATTGAACACAGTTATTTAAATGGTAAATGTTACAACATGACATAACAGGACCAGTTCTGGTCATTAATTGCTCCATCGTATTGCTGTACTGCACATTCATAAGTATGCACCACACTCAGACTTTATTCATATAATATTCATGTAATACTCAACATCTGTATAATTCACTCTTATGTTAAAAAAAAAAAAAAAGAAAGTTGCCCTGGCCGGTTTGGCTCAGTGGTTAGAGCATCGGCCCATCGACCAGAGAGTCCCAGGTTCAATTTCCGCTAAGGGCACGTACCTTGGTTGCAGTTGGTCCCCGGCTGTGGTTGGGGTCGTGTGGGTGGCAACTAATTGATGTGTCTCTCTCAACATAGATGTTTCTCTCTCTCTCTTGTCCTTCTCTCTCTCCCGCTCTATCTGAAGATAAATGCAAAAATGTCCTTGGGTGAGGATTAAAAAAAAAGGAATAAAGTCAAGAATTCAATGAAAACACTGTAAATGATGCATGAGTTTACCATGTCTGTAAACTAAGAGATCATGAGTATTCTGAGAGGGGAACTTAACCATATTATACACTAAATCTACAACAGCGAAAATGAGTGAATGGTGGCTCTCCATTCAAGTACAAGCTTTTGTGTGGACATAGGTTTTCATTTTGTTGGTGGGGTGGGAGATACATACCTAGGAGTGGAATTGTTAGGTCATGCTGGAAAGTTTTGTGGGTTTTTTTTAAAGAGGACATTGCCAAAGTATTTTCCACAGTTGGGTATACCATTTTGCATTCTCACCAACCCCATGCGGTTGTTTAATTGTCTTAGTTGCCCCACATCCTCAGCAACACATAGTGTGCTCTGTCTTTAGCTATCCTAGTGTGTATGTACTGGCATCGCACTGCGATATTAATTTGTTTTCCCCTACTGACTAGTGATGTTGAAGAACCTTTCATGTGCTTTTTCACCAATTATGTGTCTTTGGTGAAGTGTCTGTTCAAATGTTTAGCTCGTGTTAATAATCAAGTTGTTTATCTTAATGGCAAACAACATTTCTTAAAGTACAGGTCTGCTGGTGATGAATTCGCCAGCCTTTGTCTGTCGGAGAAAGTATTTATTTTGTTCTTGGTTTTGAAAGACGTTTTCATTGCATATAGGATTCTAGGTTGACAGGTGTTTACATTTTTTAATTTTTCAATACTTTAAAGATGGTGCTTTGCTGTCTTCTGACTTATATTATTTCTGATGAGGAGTCTGCTATCATCTGATCTTTGTCGTGTATAAAATATTTCCTTTTCTCTCTGGCTGTTTTTAAGATTTCTTCTTTATCACTGGTTTTTGCAGTTTGACGGTGATGCGTCTTGTAGTTTTTTTAGTGATTCTTGAGCTTGGGGTTTGTTGAACTTCTTGGATCTGTGGGTTTATAGTTTTAATCAAATTTGGGAAATTTTTGGTTATTTTTTTTCACATATTTTTTGTCCCCCTTCCCTCTCACCTTTCTGCAGGGACTCCAGCTACACATAATTTTCCTTGAAATTGTCCCATAGCTCCCTGCTATGTGTTTTGTTTTGTTGTGTTTTTTAGTCTTATTTTTGTGTGTTTCATTTTGGATAGTTTCTTTTGCTGTGTCCTCAAGTTCACAGATCTTTTCCGCTCTGTTGTCTAATCTGTTGTTTATTCCTATCCAGTTTGTTTGTCAGATACTGGAATTTATATCTCTAAAAGTTCAATTTGAGTCTTTTATTTATATGTTTCATTGTTTTCCATGTTGTGTTCATGCTTTTCTGTGCTTTCTTGACTATGTGGAATATTTATAATAGTTGTCTTAGCATTCTGATTGCTTAATCTATGTGTCATTTCTGGACCTATTTCTATTGATCTTTATTCTACTCTTTTGTTTTTTTTTAAGGTTGAATAATATTTCATTATATAGTATATCCTACAGTTTATCTATCTATTCCTTAACAGACACTTGAGTTGTTTCCATGTCTTGGCTATTGTGAATATTTTTTTCTACTCTATATAGATAATATGTTCCTGCTTATTTACATGCTTGGTAATTTTTATCAGATGCTGGGCATTTTGAATTTTATGTTGTCATATGCTGGGTTTTGTTTTATTCTGTTTAGAAGAACTTCAGCTGGACTGTCTTCAGGAGTTCAGCATGTACTGGTCTGGAGTACCATAGAAATAATTTGGCTTCTCACAATCACGGTTCACGCCATATATACAGGTCCTTGTTTTGCTCCCCATGATCCATTAGTTAAAAACCAAAGCAGAACAAAATCTGGCCTCATACTTCATCTGAGGTAATAGATTTCAGTCTGCACACACATACATGCCTTTATTTTTATTATTCTTTCTATGTATCTGAAGAGGCATGAAAGGTCACATTTATTCACTATTTAGTATGTGCCAGACCTGGTATGGGGCTTGGTATGTATGTGACCTCATTTAATTCTTTCAGCAGCCCTATTTTACAGTTAAAGGCCATTTCTTGGCCTTTATCACCATTTTCTTTTTTTCCATACCCTGGTAATTTTAGTCACCTGTCATGTAGCTGTGTTGGCAACTTAGTATTTTGAGCGCTAGTTATGTACTGGGCCTCTTTTGAAAGAGAAAGTAACTATTATCTCTTGTTTGTTGACTCTCCTGTTCATAGCACAGTGCCTGGCATTTATCACTCCTGTTTACAGATGAGTAAACTGAGGTTTCGAGTGGTTAAATTACATGTATTCGTTAGGACTCCTGTTGTTGTACTGACTAAAACCCAACTCAAATTGTCTTAAGCACGAAGGGAAGGGAGGGAGGGAAGGAGGGAAAAGGTAGGGAATAAATGAATTATATTGGCTCATTTTATTGGGAAAAAACCCCGAGTGAGTTCAGATACATCTGTATCCAGGTGCTCGGTGTCCTCAGGGGCCTGCTGCTCTGCATCTCTCAGCTCTTTTCTCTAGGTCTCAGCTTAATCTAGAGCATGCTCTTCCCCCACCTCTAGCACGGTGGCCAGTTTATTAGCAGCTCCAGGCTGAGACTCAGCAGCTCACTCACTCCGAAAGAAGATTCTTTTCCTCGACGGCTCTAACCATGTTTCAGGGTAATCTCTGACTGGCCTCACTGGATCACGGTGTCACTGTATGCCACTGAACCAACTCACGGTGGCCAAGGTTGCGGAGCATGTAGGCACACCCAGGGTGAGGGGCGGGAGTGAGTAAGACTGACAAAGCTTAAAAGGAAAGTCGGGGTTATGTTATTAGAAGAAAGGGGAATAGATGGTGGACAGGTAAAAACAACCATCACTTAATTAACATGCCCAAGGTAATTCAGACAGTCAGAGCTGGAACTAACATTCTGTTAATAACCTTGTCAGTCTGCCGCCACAGCCTGTGCACTTAACTATTAAGTCATGTGGCCTCCTTATTTAGTTCATATTTGTTGAATGCCAGCCTTCTAGGGGGTTACAGTGCTGGGGATATGTGAAAACCCTAAATAACACAATGAGAAATAATTGCAGAATGGTGTGGTCCTATCGCTTTAAGAATTCAGAAGAGGAGCCTGGCCAGTGTAGCTCAGTGGTTGAGCATCGACCCATGCCCCAGGAGGCCGCCGGTTCGATTCCTGGTCAGGGCACATGCCCAGGTTGTGGGCCTGATCCCCAGTAGGGGGCTTGCAGGAGGCGGCCAATTGATGTTCTCTCTCATCAGTGTTTCTCTCTCTCTCTCCTTCTTCCTTACTCTCTTTAAAGTCAATAAAGGAAAAAACAAAAAAGACCGCAGCCCTGGGTGTTTTTAAAAAAAAAAAAAAGAATTCAGAAGAGGATAGAGATTTTTTAAATGAAAGAAATGTGAAAATTTAAAAATTATAATAATTTTTGTTAATTATTACCATTAAATTCAGAAGAGTTTTACAGGAGATTCTGGAGTTTACAGGAAATTCTGGATATTACAATTTGAACTTTGGGCAAATACTAACATAAGTGTTGATAAACTGTATTTTCTCTCCTTAGTATTGGACCAGGTACAGACTTTTCTCCCACAGATGGCTCAGGCAAATGAAAATCTAAGGAAAGAAATGGCAGCTGCACCTCCTGGTCGTTTCAATATTGAAAATATTGATGAGACTCTTGGAAACATTATACAGATGGTAACTATGCTTTGTTTTCATTTCATATGGTAAAACTACCAAGTGTGCCTCATCACCTAAAAAGAGTGAGAACTTTTCCATTTTAATTCCATGGTTACTTTTCTTCCTGGAAAGTCAGCTCATGTCTCCAATACTGCATAGGCTCTTGGTTATTTGTCTGTTTATTTTTAATTCTCACCAGAGGATATTTTTCCATTGATTTTCAGATAGAGAGAGGGAGGGAGAGAGGGAGGGACGGAGGGAGGGAGGGAGAGAGGGAGAGAGAAAGAGGAAGGGAGAGGAACATTGATGTTAGAGACACTTCAATTGGTTGCCTCCCACATGACCCCGACCAGGGCCAGGGATCGAATCGCAACCAAGGTATGTGCCCTTGACTGGAATTGACCTGTGACTCTTTGGTCCGTGGGCAGATGCTCTAATCGCTGAGCCAAACCAGCCAGGGCAGCAGTTGGTCATTTAATGATTAAGGATCTTATGGGTCAGTAAGCTTCCCTGGGTGAAGTTTAGGAATTAAGTACAAAGTCATAGATGGGCTTTACCAAGTCATATATTACATTTGTTATCTCGAGGCATTAATTTAGTAAATGTCCTAGCTGGGTTTTTGTGTGTGTTTTTTTCCATTCAAGACCCAAAGAGGGCCCGGCTGGTGTGGCTCAATGGATTGAGTGTCGTCCCATGGACTGAAAGGTCCTAGTTTGATTCCCGGTCAGGGCACATGCCCACGGGACCTGCGGGACGGGTCAGTCATTGTTGGTCGAGTTGTCTACTCACCAACTTGACAGAGGTCATCAAAGAAGGTTCTGGAGGAGTCGAGTCCAACTGCTTTGCCTGAGCTCCACTCCTGCTGACCCTGTTCCTAATCGTTACGGTCTTCCCATCGGACTGTTGGAGTGATTTCCCAACAGGCCTCCCTGCTTTCACCTTCTTCCCTGGAGTCTGTTCTTTTTTTTTTTTCTCACCTGAGGACATTTTTGCATTTATCTTCAGATAGAGCAGGAGGGAGAAAGGGAGGGAGAGAGAGAGAAACATCGATGTGAGAGAGACACATGGAGTGGCTGCCACCCACACAACCCCAATCAGGGCCGGGGACAAACTACAACTGAGGTACGTGCCCTTAGCGGGAACCGAACCCAGGACTCTCGGTCCGCAGGCCGACGCTCGAACCACTGAGCAAAACCAGCCAGGGCTGGAGTCTGTTCTTCACACTGTGTGGCCCACAGTTTGGGAGTCCACTTCTAGTACATTCTAGTAAAGCCCTCCAGCGCCTGTATGATCCTGCCTCCACTCTCTGGCTGACCTTGCTCCTGCTCTGCCCCCTCCTTGTCCACACTCCCTTTTCTCCCCTTACTCCAGGCCTTCCCTTCCTTGTAGAAGGCTCTTCTCTGGATTTCTGCATCTTGACTCTCTTTGTCGCTTATCAGTTGTCACCTCCTCCAGAGGCCGTCCCCAGTGGCCCTAGTATTACCTTAGCCTTTATTTTCTCTGCTCTATACCATGCTGTATAATGTCATTGTTGGTCGAGTTTCTCTCCCAACTTGAACAGAGGTCAGCAAAGAATTTCTGGAGGGGCTCGATAATGACTCCTCTGGGCTAGGTGGGCCACACTGTCTCTGCCTTGAATACTCACCTCTGCCATGGTAGCTCGAAAGCAGCTGTAGACGATACTTAATGAGTGGGTGAGTTCTGTTAACTTGGTTTATGGACATTGAAATTTGAGTTTCAATTTCCATGTTTCATGAAATATTGTTCTTTTGAGTTTTGTTTTCCTACCACTTAAAAATGTAAAAACCATTCTTTTTAAAAAAATTTTTTTTCTTTATTAATTTTAGAGAGAGAAACATCAATGAGAGAGAACATCATTTGGCTGCCTCCTGCATACCTCCCACTGGGAATTGGGCACACAACGTGGACATGTGCCCTGATTGGGAATCAAACCAGCAACCTCTTGGTGCATGGGTTGATGCTCATCCACTGAGCCACACTGGCCGGGCATAAAAACCATTCTTAACTCATGAGCTAGACAAGTAGCAGGCTGGGTTTGGCCTATAGGCCACCAACCCCTACTCAAAAGCATAAGTTCCACAAAGGCAAGGATTTTGTTATTGTTGTTGCGTCACCAGTACCTAGTGTGGTGCCTGGCTCACATTAATAGTTGTTGAATGAAGAGTATATTCAGAACATATAGAATTGGGTTATGGGGGTCTTTTTAGACTTAGAGTAAATGTAAATCAGCATGGTGGACTCTGGCAACTAAAACAATAAAAGTGCCGCCCTGGCCAGTTTGGCTCAGCAGTTAGAGGGTTGGCTCAATGACCAGTGAGTGGTGGGTTCGATTCCAGTCAAGGGTACATACCTCGGTTGTGGTTGGTCCCCGGCTCTGGAGGCAGCCAGTCGATGTGTTTCTTTCACGTCGATGTTTCTCTCTCCCTCTTTCTCTCTCTTTGTCCCTTCTTCCCACTGTATCTGAAGATAGATGGAAAAGCATCCTCAGGTGAGGATTTAAAAAAAAACAATGAAAGTGCCATATTGTATTAAGAACATGACCAGTGTGGCTCAGTTGGTTGGAGCATCATCCTGTGTACCAAAGGGTCATGGGTTCAATTCCTGGTTTGGGTGCGTACGGGAGGCAACCAGTCGATGTTTCTCCCTCACATCATGTTTCCTTTTCTCCCTGTCCCTTCTTCTCTCTCTCTAAAAAAATCAATGAAAACATATCCTTGGGTGAGGATTTAAAAAAAAAAAAAAAATGTCCTTTGTGCTTCAATATTGTGCTAAATGCTGGTTGTTCCCAGTGTTTTATTGCAACTTTTTAGAGAACTAAATTTCCCACGTGGTGTTTTTTGCAGGACGTGGCCTTGTTCGAGATGAGTCAGTCTGATTCCAAAGAGGACAGTTCAGAAGAGAAGTCACACGACAGTTCCGAGGACAGCTCCGAGTCTGAGGATGACGATGACAACAGCGCCTCCTCTGAAGTCACCATAGATAACATTAAGCTTCCTCATTCAGAAGATGGAAAAGGCAAGATAGAGGTTTTGGACAGTCCTGCCAGTAAGAAAAGGAAACAATGAAATAAGCGGCCTAAGAAGCAGGTGATCTACGCCTGCTAATTCTGTGGACGAGAAGGCGGCTCAATGGTTATTTCGCATTTCAGGTAGATGGTGCTTTTGTGTCATACTGAATGTGCTTTGTTTCTCAGGAGAAACGGGCTGGCTTTCAAAGAGTTGGAAGGGGGGCATCTGGGAATCTTCTAAGAGCAGACTGTCTTTGCTCTTATACTGCAGAGATTTCGTTTAGAAAGCTTAACTTTATTTTTGGTGATAAGTGAATTTGTTGGCATCATTTTTTCTTCAACATAGACCAGACATATCAAACTTATTTTTATTTATTTTTATTGATTTCTTAGAGAGAGTAAGGGCGAGAGAGAGAGAGAGAAATATCAATTTGTTGTTTGACTTATTTATGTATTCATTGGTCGATGCTTGTATGTGCCGTGACCCGGGATCTAAACCACAACCTTGGCGTGTCAGGACAACGCTCTAACCAACTGAGTTACCTGGCCAGGGCTTCAAACTTTTTTTAAATTAAAAGTATAAACCACCTGTTCATTTTAGTTTTAAATTGTTATTTTGGCTAAAACAACCTAGGTGGGTTTTTTTTTGTTATTATAACATCAAATTTGTTAGCATCACAGTGGGTTTAGTGAGGGAGAAATTTCTAAGAGAAATCTTATAATAAAAAGAATTACTTAGATATAACTGTCCTCAGGCGTATCTCCTTTCATATAAAGATATATTGCTTTTCAGTTTGAGCTGGAAAACTGGTTCTCTGGGGGTTTAATCACTGTTGGTAACTGTGGCCACTCAATGGATATAAAACTTACTGGTTGGAAAAATTCATCTTTTTTTTTTTGCCCCCATAAAGCCAACATTTTTTTCCTCAGCTACTAGAACTATTCTGCACAGTTGCCCACGGTTTGAAACCTATCAAATGTAGAAAAGGGGACCCCACAGGAAAAACGGCACAGAACAACAACAACAACAAAAGCGGTTTTCCCAAAGGCAAAATGGTCTGTGGAGTCAACTTTCTGCCTCATTCTTGACCTTATGAAGCTGTGTTAGACCTTATCCGCCAAGGGGCTGGCTTTGCTCAGGATAGGGACCCGAGAATTTAAAGGACTGTCTTCAAGTTGGTTGCTGATGGGATTTTGTCCCCTAATGTTCTGGGGCTCTCTCTTAACAATTTTTTTCTATTCCTCACATTAGCCTTGTAAATACGCTAAAGATAATTCTCAAGATTCTTTCTGGTATTTCTCACTGGAACCTGGAACCAGATCTCCCAGGCTGTGCCTCACTAGATGTAGGAAGAAATGAATAGATCAGGAAACAAGACTTCTGGGCTGGAAAGGGTATCATTCTATACTTCGTAGCACCAAACACAACTGTGATGAATTACTGGTGTAACTATTTTAAGATTGTCTTCTACCAGATAATTTATCCTACATTGGAATAGTTGCATCTGTCTGGCTCACTGCTTAGCATGGTGCATGGTACACACAGGTACTGATAAATCAATTAACAGGTGTCTGATGACATTTTAAGCCGTGGTAGGCTACTCCAGGCAGGGGGGTATGAAGATGTAATTTTACAGGAAATACATACCAAGTAGAAATAGACTGAATGCTCACTGAAAGAGACTAGTCAGTCTGGAAAGACATATCAGTATGTAGAATTTAAATATTTTTCTCTTACCATGGCTATCATATAATAGAACTAGGCTTCCTATACAGTTAAGGAAGTCAACTAAATTCAGGTCCTCTGGACATTTTTATGACACAGAAGAAAAAAGAAAAATATAAATATTTAATACATGATAAGGATGTCATTTTAAGTGAATGTAAAATGGAAGTTATTTAATGTACAATGTCAGGACTGGCTAACTATTTTTAAACAAGGTTAGATTCTAGCCTCCTACCATGTACTAAGATAAATTTTATATGAATTAAAGATTTAAATATAAAGAAATAAAATCATAAGGGTTCCATACTAAAACAGAGAATATTTAATAATGTAGTTGGGCAAAAGCTTTTCTAAAAAGCAGAACATTAAAGCCTGAAGTCACAAAGGAAACGGCAGAAAATCCATCCACATAAATATTAAAAACTAGTGGGTGGCAAAGAAATTTAAGGGGCAGGGGACCAACTGGGAAAAATATTTCCAATATTTCCATTAGTGTATACAAGGCTCTTACAGATTAGTAAAAAGAAAATCAGCTTAATATCTCAATAGTGAAAAGACCATAGGATGGGAACACGTAAAAAAATGTTCAACCCCATTAATCAAAGAAATGCAAATGAAACCAAAATTGCATTTTTTACCTGTCGAATTGGTAGGTGAAACAGTACTTACTAAGCCCTTTCTGTGTGTCAGCCACTATTCCAAGTGTACTTTTAAGAGCCACCACCATTCATGTGTGTAGAAAAATGTTTCAAGTTGTACATTTAACATTTGTGCACTTTATGTATGTTTATACCTTAATTGAAAAGCAGTTTGGTTTGTAAGCAGTTTGCCTTATAGTCTAATAGGAAAATAAGTCCCTACTGAGCTTTGGTTGGTCTGACCCTGTACTGTCTCTTCCTGATGCTCAGGTGTGGTTGACGGCAGTCATTTGGAGAGTGGTTCTGTCCCTGCCAAGGTTGATGAAATGTTCTCTTCTTCAAACTTGTTGGGTGGTATGTCATCTATGGCTCTGTGAGTTATAAATCAGAAAATTAGGTGTAATGGTCTTTGAAGCAAAAATGTCATTCTGAATGAATTTGCCATCTGTTCTCATAATACATTAATTGTGCATCAGATATGGTACTTATACAAAAAAATGCCTTGCAGAGTAGTTTGTAGTTTGTATTCTTGTGCCTGTGTCCACTACTATGGTAGGAAAGACAAGGAAAAAGTTGAGTCTTTCATCTGTATTTCCCTCAGTGCCTAGTATATATAGTGCCTTTCACTCAGTTGGAATGTACAATAAATGTTCATTAAAGTATTTTTTTCTCTTTATGTTAATAAAGTAATTCATCTTAAATATCAGTGGTTCACAATCTTGAAATAAAAATGAGTAAATATGATTGGTAGACTTTCCCAAAAGTTGAATGTTGGAATCTTTGTGGTTGACTCCCCACCACGCATTTGTGGAAAACCCTTGGCAATGATTGGTTTGGGAGTAGGTGAGGGACACGAACCTTCCCAATAAGGCATGAGCAGTCTTGTTGGTGGACTTTGGGAAGGGAAATATTTCTCATTCCTAAAAAGGAGGCACATGAAGAGATGGTTCTTTTCCTTCTGGAGAAAGGACTGTCTTATTACTGCATATGATTCCTGGGACTCCCATGTGGTGGCCATAAGTGGAGCCAACTCTTGAGGTGCAATCAGCACACCAAGGACAGCAGAGATAAGCAAGGACATCAAGTCACTGTGTCGCATAACTGGAGATTGAACTATTGCTGCATTTCTTGTTTCGCAACACAACAAATTTCCATATTATTAAAAAAAAAGACCACTAGCTTATGAGACGCTCTGCTTATACCCGTTCCACAGATGAGAAAATTGGCATGGAGATACTAAGCAGATTTCCTAAGGCTTCACAATAGGTAAGTGGTAGAGCCAAGTTTTAAGTTCATACACCTAGCCATCGTGAGCCTACCGGTCACTGTGCTGTGAGCACAGGCTCTGAAGCTGTCTGGATCAGATCCCAGCCCAGCCTCATCTCTGTTTCACCATCTGTCAGTGGGAATAGTACTGTCCCTCCTGGGGTCTTGATAAAAAAATGAATGAATCATGTGTTAAGAACAGTGTTCAACCAGGCCCGTGTGGCTCAGTGGATTGAGTGTCATCCCGTGTCCCAGTTCTATTCCTGGTCAGGGCACATGCCCAGGTTATGGACTCGATCCCCAGTAGGGGGCGTGCAGGAGGCAGCCAATTGATGTTTCTCTCACATTGATGTTTCTCTTTCTCCTCTCTAAAAAAATCAAGAAAACATTAAAAAATGAAGTAAACGTAAGGTATAATGCTATAGGAATAATACACAATGGTGGCAAAAATTGGGGGGAAACTTGGTAAGATCACAGATTCCTGCATCCTTTGACTCAGGAATTTCACTTCTAGTTTATCCAACTAAAAAAGTATGGCCTTGTTCACAAATTTCTATATAAGATTTATTGCAGTGTTTAAAATAGCAACAAGCAAACCTAAATGTTCAACAATAGAGAGCAGGTAGATTGAAGCCACTAACCATGCAGAGGAATGTTTGTTGACATAGAAAGACACAGGTGGTTAATTGAAAAAGCAGGTAACAGTCATGTGCACTGTTACACTGGTCCTGTAAAAAGGTGTATGCACAGAAAAAGTCTGGAACGATCTCAATACCTGTGGTTATTTCTGTGTGAAGAGTTTATGCTTGTCTTACCTCCCTGTTTTATGTATTTTTACATAACTAGGTATTATTTAATCATTTAAAAATTCACTTGGGTATTATTTGCAAAGTAGTAGTAGTAATAATAATCACCCTATCTATCATGTCTCATGACTGATGATATTCTAGGCTTCCCTCAACAGTTATTTTCCTGGAGGGGTGGTATGGGGGAAGTCATTGTGGTTCCTCACCCTGTCTCTACCTGCTTTTGCAGAAGTTCTTGCAGATAATGTCCTCCCTGCTTAGCGTTTTAGTTTGGCGTATATTTAGTGTGTGTGCCTACCATTCGCTACCATTCCCTAACCAAGCCCTGATTCGGGTATTGGCAATAAATGCTATGTCAGCTTGGTCGAGACCAGCAGCCTCACTACTTCAGTGCCTCTGCTACCATTTAGTAGCTATGTGATGTTAATTAAATAACCTCTTGCGGTCGAAAGCAAATGTTTATTGAGCTCCTCCTAATATTAAACACTGGAGACACAGCATTGAACAAAAGAAGCACCTGTTCATGAAGCTTACATTCTAATGGGGAGAGGTCGACAATAAAAATATGCCAGATTGTAATCAGTGCTATGAAAATAACGTAGGATGAGGAGAATAAAGAATGACAAGGCACCCTGGCTGGTGTGGCTCGGGTTGAGCATCGACCCATGCACCAAGAGGTCACTGGTTCGATTCCCAATCAGGGCACATGCCTGGGTTGTGGGCTTGATCCCCAGTAGGGGGCGTGCAGGACGCAGCCAATCAATGTTTCTGTCTCTTCCTCTCCCTAAAATCAATAAAAACATTTTCTAAATGTCAGGGCAGATGAGGTATGAATGTGGGTACATAGGTGCTAGAAAGAGTACTCGGAATGTATCTCTACTAACGTGATATTTGAGGAGCGACCGAAAGAAAGGCAGCCAGCCAGGGGGATGGTGTGTGGGGAAAGAGTCAGAAAAAGGCAGTGGCCTGCTGGTGCTGGCTTGCCCTTACTTTGATTGCACACATCTCTTCCCAACTTTGTGTTCAGTAAAGTCAAATTGATAGCTTGAAATCAGCCTTGAGAGCATTTATACATAGAAATCAGCAAATAGTATGAATTTTTTCCCCCAGAGAGCCATTTGTTCAATATTTACCAGCACACCACTGGAAGAAGCAGAACCAGTAAGTGCAAAGGCCCTGAGGTAGGAGTGTGCCTGGTGTGTTGGAGGAGCATCAAGGCAACCAGGGTGGCTAGATAGAATGAGAGGGAAGTGGGTAGGAGATGAGGTCAGAGGTAGCCAGGACTTCGTAAGCCATGGTCAGTACACTGCACTTGATTCTGAGCAATATGGAGGCCATCAGAAGGTTTTAAGCAAAGGTATGACACCATCTGACTTAAGCCTTGAACACGACCACACGGAAGAGTCAGGAAGACCAGGTGGGAGACCTCAGCAGTAAGTTAGATAAAAGATGATGATAGCTCGGTAGTGGTGGAGGTAAGAAGAGCACCTCAGTTTATTCATTTTCTTCAGATGTTGTGAAGATTAAATAAGATAGCATTTAAAAAGTGCTTAACATTGGTCTAGCACACAGGAGGCCATCAATAAAGGATAGCTGTTATTATTATTGATAGACGGCCAATCCTGGTGTGAGGAGGGAGGTGCTCATATCTGTTTAGGAAGGCAAATAATTTTAGCACCAAGTGGTGAGTACTGTGTTCCAGACAAGTGGGAGCATAGAGAGGAACTTCGACCAAGCTGGGGGTAGGAAGGTCAAGAAGGATGTTTGAGCCAAGGGGGGCTGCCTTAGCAAAGGCTTAGGGAAGTGGAATTAGAAGGAATTTAGAACGCCTTCAAGTGTCTACACCTCCCCAGTTTGGTGACAAACAGGTCTCAGCTTTATCCGTTAGCAAAATAATCAGTGATCTGAAGGAAGAGTGACAATTTAATTACCCAGTGTTTTAATTAAATCACCTAGTAGGCTGTGGATCATGAGGTGCCAAGTCACATTCACTGGTAATTTTACGAATTCCACCGAGCCTTTGATTCTGATCAACAGTCAGATTTACAAACTCCAGCGGGTGGAGAAGGGAGTTTTTATTCTGAGGCCTAAGCATGGAGGCCTGTGAATCCTGTGAAGGCACTTGCACAATTATGTGTGTGTAATGAATTAGGGGAGAAGCGAAATGGGGTTCCATTTCATCAAATTCTCAAAAAGGTTTATGGCCCAAAGAAGATTAAAAACACTGCTAACATTAGAAGGTAAAATTAGTCTAGAAGAACAGGCATGTTTTTGTTTGCCAATGCAACTATCATTAAAATATTTGGTAAAGTGATATTTTAAATCACATGCAGTCAGTTCAAATACTGCATTTAAAAGTGATTCCTTTATAATAAGGCCTTTGTCACTTTTTTTTATCCTCACCCGAGGACATTTTTGCATTTATCTTCAGATAGAGTGGGAGGCAGAGAGGGAGGAAGAGAGAGAAACAGCGACGTGAGAGAGACACATCCACACAACCCCAACCAGGGCCAGGGACAGACCGCAACCGAGGCACGTGCCCTCAGCGGGAACCAAACCCGAGTCTCTCTGGTCTGTGGGCTGACACGCTAACCACTGAGCCAAACCGGCCAGGTGGTCACTTTCGACTATGAACCCAGAGAACATTCATTCCAACTGAATTTCAGCTGTACCAACTCTGAATGAGCTACAAGGTCATAACAGATGCTTTCGGGCAAAATTTGCTCTATTGACCACGCCAGGGTCACCTGCTATGCTTCCTTTCGAATGTTTTCTGCCTCTGATTTTGTTGTTGCTCATTGATGATGATTTCCTACACTCCCCTGATTTAAGCTGCTGAGTCTTTAAAGTAACAACTGTTCCCTAAGAGCTTCTTCCAGGCCCACGAGAATTTGCAGAAATTTCACTTTAAAAGGAGGAAAAATAGAAATTAATTGCTCTGACCGTCTTTGGGAATTCACCCTCTAGTCACACATGGATGGTGATAATTTACCTATCTACCTATTTAGTCTGTAAACAGGTAGTGGATGGTAGAGTACTGCATCAGTTGTAATAATTCCCACTTACTGAGCACAGACTGTGGTCCAAACACCTTGTTAAATGTATGATGTAGGTAATTCTATTGGATCCTTACAATACCTAATGAGACAGGGACTTGATCCGTTTTATAGATTCCAAGCCTAGGCTCTGAAATAGGTAACTAACTTGCTCAAGGTCACATCGCCAGTGAGCAGCAAAACCAGTAACTAGAAAATGGAAAACAAGACGTCCTCTGAAGGACGAGTGAGCTGCAGAAAGGGGGGCAACCCTTTTCCCTGTGCCATTGTCATTTTTCATTGCATAGCATTTCCCAGTGCTGCCGTGGCGGTGCCGTGTCAGGACTGGATGGGAAAAGAGTATAGGAATCAGTGACTACTTACAAGGGTCATCAGAAAATGAATTAACCCATCTACTTAATATAGCTCAAGATATTTTTTAAATAGTGATGGTGGGAACAATGAACGTTTATTGAGTATTTACACGAACAAAGCACAGTGCAAGGTGCTTGACTTATATTATTGCATTGAATCTCCATCACGAGGCTCCTGAGGGGGGCATTACTATACCCATTTCACAGAGAAGGAAGCTGAGGCTCAGAGAAGTTGCATAAGTTTCCCTAAGTCACATAGATAGGAAGATGGCATAATATGAACCAAGATCAGCCTCCAAAAGCTAAATTAACTTTGTACAACAGCGGTGAGTAAAAGGTTTACAGTTAGGAGTATGCAGAACACTGAGTTTATTCTTGTATTGTTATTTATGATTGTATTATTTATTTGTATTACAACTGTAAATCTTTGGCTCATGTTTATACATGATACTGTAAAATTTACTTTAAAAGCTAGCGACTCGCCCTGGCCGGTTTGGCTCAGCGGTTGGAGCGTCGGCCTGCGGTACAGAGAGACCTGGGTTTGGTTCCCGCTAAGGGCACGTACCTCGGTTGTAGTTTGTCCCCGGCCCTGGTTGGTCGTGCTGGTGGCAGCCACTCGATGTGTCCCTTCACATCGATGTTTCTCTCTCTCTCTCTCTCTCTTCCTCTCTCTCCCTCCCGCTCTATCTGAACAAAAAATGGAAAAATGTCCTCGGGTGAGGATAAAAAAAAAAAAAAAAGCTATCGACTGGAATGTAAACTATTTGGGGCCAGAGATTATGTCATTAAATTTTTTCTACTCCTCAGGACATACCATAGTACCTTGTGGGTGCTCAAGAATTGTTTGTGGCTTGGTCACCCATCACAGTGAGTTGAAAATAGGACATCGGAGACGTTGGCTGGCGAGGCTCAGTAAGGCACTTGGAATTGGTGGCCCTGGAGGAAGGAGGGATCTGTAGAGTTCAGCAGCGGAGAGGCTGGAGCAGAGGAGGAATGACTGACCAGCCCCTCCCTGAGCTACCACAACAGACTCATCTTAGCCCCTGTGGTTCGGGTAGGGACTCCCCCAGTGCGGCTGCTGGCCCTGGACTATGGGGCAACATTGTGTACTGTGAGTTGTATTTCAGCCCCAGACCCAGAAAAGCTGCAAAACCTGGTAGACAACACCAGCACCAGCTGCGATGACTAACAACCCCCTGCCCCGACACTGACCAGTCAGTGAGGACCACCTGAAGGAGCTCACCTAGAAAACTGATGAATGTTCTGTTGAAGCCCTCCCGAGACCTCCCCTAAGAGTCCCGCCTGCAAGACAGAATAAAAGCCTCAAGACAAAGGACCCAGCACACGCCCTCCTTCTCAGGATCGTGCCTGCACCCTCTCTTTTCTCCCCCACAGGCATGCATCTCCTAGACGCCGAGTCCCCCACGAGGCTTGTGACCAGGCCAGCAGTGGGCAGTGGCAGTTCGTCCCAGGCAGATCCTCGGACTCCCTAGTGAGCCAGAGCAGCCCAGCCCAGGCTCACTTCCCAGCCCTTCCTTGTTCCACTGCCCCCAGCTTTCATAAACGTCCTCTAAAATTGAAAGAAAAATAGAACATCAAAGGCATAAAGATGTCTCATATTTCCAAGCATGAAAAAAAAAAAGTTACTCTCACATTCCTTATAGGATATACCGTTCCTTGAAGGCAAAAGTATAGAAAACTTTTTTAATAACTCGAGTGTATGGTTCAGAGGTTAAAACCTGGACTATACAAAGCTTCTAAAAAATGCTCTTTTTGATTATAACTGCATGATACTGACGTTTTCAGGATGAACAGCCATGACTAGACTAGTTTGGGGAGGAGCTTGGCATTGGAGAAATGGGTGTGAAATGCTACATAGTCAAGAACCAACACATGGAAGTCATTTTAAGGTACAGAAGGGGTCGAGTTCAGGCACAGGTGTAAATGCCCAGCCATGTGGCCTGGCCATCTGCACGGTCCACGTGGGTACTTTCTGGCTGCCGGCTGATACGTCCTTCGTCAGCACCCAGGCCTCTTACGTGTGTCGAGAACGGAGGGGTAGCGCTGTCTGAGGGTGTCCTGGTCGCAGCCTGGCTCTAATATTCCAGCGTCACCGTCTTGGTTTTGAGGTATTCATTCAGCGCTTCCTCACCTAGAGAAGAGAAAAGCCGCTGGTGGACAATGTTCACAGGTGGATGCAATGTCACCAGACTTTCAGACACAGGTGTGGGTGTCTAGGTCACTAAGCAAATAAAATGTGGCTCGGACAAGTGCTTCTTAAACTTTACAGTTCATGCACATCACCTGCCGATCCTGGGAAACAGATTCTGATTCGATTAAATCGGGCAGAGGCCCCACGAATGTGCATCTCGAGTTTACTGTCTCTCAGTTACCACTTACATTCAATATTGTGTATTAGTTTCAGGTGTACAGCATAGCGGTCAGCCAGTCATACCCTTTACGAAGCGTTCCCCCCGATATTTCCAGGACTCCCTGGCGCCATACATACGTACCGCAATATTCTTGACTATATTCCCTTTGCTGTACTCTGCATCCCCGTGATGTTTTGTAACTTCCAATCTGTACTTCTCCATCCCTTCACCTTTCTCACCCTGTCCCGTGACCCCCCGCCCCTCTGGCATCCATCAGTCTGCTCTCTGTATCTATGAGCTTGTTTCTGCTTTGTTCCTTTATACTCTTCTTTAGATTCCACATATATGTGAAACCATGTGGTATGTCTTTCTCTGACTGACTTATTTCACTTAGCATATACTGTGTCTTTTTTTAAATTAATTGTTTTTCTTTATTGATTTTAGAGAGTGAGGAAGGGAGAGGGAGAGAGAGAGAGAGAAACATCGATGAGAGAGAACATCGATTGGCTGCCTCCTGCATGCCCCCATTGGGAATTGGGCCCACAACCTGGGCATGTGCCCTGACCAGGAACGGAACCAGCGACTTCTTGGTGCATGGGTCGACACTCAACCACTGAGCCACACCAGCCAGGCTGTACTGTGTCTTTTGATTGCACCATTTTCTCTTGTGCTTGCTTTAATCTTGTGTTTTATACATTTAGAGCGGCCTAAGTGCTCAGGGTTTATAAAGTCTCCAGTGGTGGACGGCAGTGTCCTGGGCCTTCACATTCACTCCCCGCTCACTCCCTGCCTCACCCAGAGACTCCCGGTCCCGCAAGCTCCACTCATGGTACGTGCCCTGCACAGGTGAACCATTGTTATCTTTTTTAAAAAATGTTTTTATTGATTTTGTAGAGAAAGAGGAAGGGAGAGGGAGTGAGAGGAGAGAGAGAGAGAGAGAGAGAGAGAAGAGAGAAACATCTGTGTGAAAGCAGAACACTGATCAGCTGCCTCCTGCATGCTCCTTACTGGGGATTGAGCCTGCGACCTGGGCATGTGCTTTGACTGGGAATTAAACCAGCAACCTTTGGTGCATGGGATGATGCTCAACCAGCTAAGCCACACCGGCCAGGGCCCACTGTTATCTTTTATAAGGTAATGTATTTTTACTGTACCTTTTCTATGTTTACATATGTTTGGATCCACAAATACTTACTATTGTGTTATAATTGCCTACAGTCTTCAGTACTAATCATATTTTAAAGATAAGGAAAATGCGGTTTTTCTGATTTATGGAGTATCTTAGAAACCAAAAAAAGCCATATCCAGGCAAAAAGTAAATAGGTCTTACTTTCTGTCTCTCCTCTGAGCTAGTACAGCCATCAATTTCTGCAGCAGTTAACGGGCATGAATGCCACAGGCGAAGCTAATGAGTATGAAAACAAGGGTTGTAACCTTACATTACAGTCACCCTGGGGAGCTCTTAAACCTCCTGATCCGGGTCACACCCCAGAGCAATTAAATCCGCGTCTTTCCGTTCTTAACGCTCTCAGGTGATTCTAATCCAGTGCGCAACTGGGAACCACTGGGCCAGGGGGTTTAAAATCGGAACAGGAGGAACTATTAGGCAAATTCTACTGTTTTATAATAAAACAGAGACTTGAAGCTGGGCCATTATACTGTGAAAAGTCAAGTGGATGCAGTTTCCTCGCTTTGTAACAGTATTGTCTCTAAGAAAACCCCCACTGGGTTTTGGATGCAGGGATGAAAGCCAGATTAAAGACATGAAAAAAAAAAAGACTTTACCTTCAACTCAATGGAATTTAAAATGAGAGCTGTTTTTATTGCTACAAATACATTGCCCAAAGTCATCAAGAAAAAGTAAAAATCACGCAAAAAATAACCAACCTTATATGAGTGGACTATAGTTTCTGTAAATCACAGATATTTCAGTTTTTGAAACGACAAGCTAGACTGACTGTGGGGAGCAAGCTCCACAGCCAGACTGCGTGGGTGTGAATTCTCTTTGCCGGTGTCTGGCTGTGTGACTTTGAGCAGGTTACCCAACCTCTCTGAGCCCCCATTCTCTTCATCCATTAGATAAGGATAATAAACGGTACCTCTCTCTCAGGGCTGTTGTGAGATTGGTTGTGCTCAAACAGGTAAAGCAGGTAGAATAGGGCCTGGTGTAGTGTTCACAGTAAGCTGCTACTTGAAACGTGATGGTGTCCCTACCTGTAATGAATTACATTGTGGGCTTTCTACAAACTCGGAATCTGAGTTCTCAGATCCTCAGAAAACCCTGCCTGTTGTAGACTCTGAAAGATGGCCCAGCAGTCTCGGAGCTAGCTGGTCATTGCCCTGGACCCATTTCTCCTATCTTAGTTCCCCTGAGCCCGTGAACACTAAACCAAGTTCCTGCTGAATGTCAGGTTAAAAAAACACACCAGCCGTGGCCGTGGCCGTGGCCGGTTTGGCTCAGCAGTTAGAGTGTCGGCCTGCGGTCCAGAGACCCGGGTTCCATTCCTGCTAAGGGCACGTACCTTGGTTGCAGTTTGTTCCCGGCCTTGGTTGGGTCGTGTGGGTGGCAGCCACTCGATGTGTCCCTTTCATGTCAATGTTTCTCTCTCTCTCTCTCTCTCCCTCCCACTCTATCTGAACAAAATATCGAAAAAAATGTCCTCGTGTGAGGACTAAAACAAACAAACAAAAAACACCACACCAAACCTATTTTAGCTAAAAGATATTGCCAGAGGTTCTTTTTCCTTTCAGCATTAACCTTCATTTAAAAAGAAACACTTTCCCACACAATCGGTGCACTTTTCTCTATGTTCAAAAAAATGTTTAACATTTTTAAAAAATGCAGTGCCCTTGTAAACCCAGATCCAACCACCTTGTAGGGCATCAGTGCCCCCCAAAACAGCACATGGGTGTTGCATGCGACAGGAGCAGGCTTTCCGTGACGTGGAAACTAAGGGGACAGGCAGTAGAAGACGAAGCTTACCTAAGTCCTTCCCGAAGCCGGACTGTTTCACTCCGCCGAAAGGAGCTGCCACATCTGTCTTGTTGTAGGTGTTAACGAACACGGTTCCCGCCTCGAGCTTTTCACTCACGTACAGAGCTTTATTTATGTCCCTTGTAAAGACCCCCGAGGCCAAACCGTACTCTGTGTTGTTGGCTCGCCGCAGCACTCCATCGATGTCCCTACGAGATGTGTTTAGGAAGACATAAAACTTCATTAAATGTAAAGCACAAGACTCCCATTTTATGTTCTAGTATTTTCCCCTCCGTGCTAGAAATAGGAACACATTACTGCCAACCTGCTTACATTTTTTATGAGATTGTCCAGGCTTATCCCAAGTGACAGTCCCAATGAAGTATTACAACTCAGGTATCATATTTTCATATATATCATACAACACCATTTATTTTATTTTTTTGTTCATTCTCACTCGAGGATATTTTTTCCATTGATTTTTAGAGAAAGTGGAAAGGGGGAAGGGAGGCAGGGTAGGGAGAGAGAGACATTGATGTGAGAGAGACATCGATTGGTTGCCTCCCACCCAAGTCCTGACCGGGGCTGGATATCAAACCTGCAACCCAGGTACATGTCCTTGACTGGGAATTGAACCTGTGACCCTTTGGTGTGAAAGCTGATGCTCTAACTGCTGAGCCACACTGTCCAGGATCGTATAACACCATTTAAACTCTGATCTGAAGTTATCTTTTCAAGCTTCTTCATTATGACTTCCTTATTCCCTCTTCTCTCCTTCAAGTCTCACTTCTAGGTATACTCTCAGAGCAACCCTTATTTCCCTCCATCTCTTCACATTTTTTAAAAATCCTCACCTGAGTATATTCTTCCATTTTTATCTTCAGATGGGGGGTAGGGAGAAGGAGAGAGAGAGGGAGAGAGAGAGAGAGAGAAAGAGAGAGAGAGAGAGAGAGAGAGAGAAACATCCATATGAGAAAGACATTGATTGATTGCCTCCCACACAAGCCCTGACTGGGGCCGGGGACCAAACAGAAACCAAGGTACATGCCTTTGACCAGAATCAAACCCGTAACTCTCTGGTCCGCGAGCCGACACTCTAACCGCTGAGCCAAACCGGCCAGGGCCATCTCTTCAGATTTTACACGCACAGTTCAAGCCTTGTTCGGTGCCTCACCCTGAAGCCTGCCCAGCTCCACCGGTGCCACAGTTGCGGTGTAGATGGAGTGGCTCAGTGGGAGGGTTCTGCATCCAGACTACCTGGGTGACCCTGGGTAAATGACTTCATCTCCCCATGCTTTAGTTTATCCTTGTGAAAATGGAAATAATAATAATAATAATAGCACCTGTCTTGTTGGGAAGATTAAATAAGCTAATAGTATCTGGAAATGATTAATGGAAGTTAGCTACAATGCCCTGGCCAGTGCGGCTCAGTGGGTTGGAGTGCTGTCCATGTACAGAAAGGTTTGCTTTCTAGTCAGGGCACATACCTAGATTGCGGGTTTGATCCCTGGCTGGGGCATGTATGTGAGACAAACTGATGTTTCTCTCCCTCTCTTTTCCACTCTCTCTAACAGCCAATGAGCATGTCCTCGGTGAGGATTAAAAAAGAAAAGTCAGCCCTGGCCGGTTTGGCTCAGCAGTTAGAGCGTCCGCCTGTGGTCCGGAGAGACCCGGGTTCGGTTCCCGCTAAGGGCATGTACTCGGTTGCAGTTTGTCCCTGGCCCTGGTCGGTTGTGCGGGTGGCAGCCACTCGATGTGTCCCTGTCACATCGATGTTTCCCTCTCTCTCTCTCTTCCTCTCTCTCCCTCCCACTCTATCTGTACAAAAAATGGAAAAATGTCCTCGGGTGAGGATAAAAAATAAAAATAAAAAATAAAAAAAAGAAAAGTCAGCTATAATCAGAAAGCACATGTTCCTCCAAGTCAGGATTTTGGTTTAACTCTTCATGTACTTATGGTTCACTTCCCAACTAGACTGGAAGCTCCCCAAGGGCAGGGATAACATCTTGTTCCTCTTTACACCAAGATGTTTGTTGTATCAGCAAATGAGAGGAAATTCAGTTAACATGCAAATCCAATAAAAGGAGAGTAAAATAATCCCTTACATCGGTCTGGTGATTTCCCTGACAGTTGACTCAGTATGTGTCCAATTTCTAAGTGCCCGTCACGGTGTGAGTATCTCACGTCACAGTGTGAGTGTCATTCTAATACTTAGAAGTGCACAGAATGTCTACAACATGGTCAGTAGATGCAAGCCAAGTATTTCATCTGGAGCTCCAGCAAAGAAACGGAATCTGTTCCAAAACTGGAGGAAACATTAGTTGTGCTGAATTTTTTAAGAGACAGCACTGGCTTTAATGTGGAGCCTTCCAGAGGCATTTTCAAAGGCAATCGTGACTACATACAATTTGAAACTCACACAAGAGATTTGGAACTGGCCTTGGAGTGAACTGAGGTTCTGCAAAAACTCTGACACTCCTTCATGCGTCGCACCTGGTAGGGACCCAAATATTTATAGACTGGACTAAGGCTTTATGCCATTGCTCATGAGATGATGAGATGATATAGTTTCATAGTATATCTTGTCTACTTCTAGATTAATAACAGGCATAACAGTGGCCACACCAATAGAAAACACTTGACTTAATCCTTAGAACAACCCAGAAAGGTAAATACTACTAATAACCCAATTTTACAAAAAACGAAACTGAGGCACAGAGTGATTAAGTAACTGGCCCAAGCCCACAGAGGTACTCAGGTGTGGGGTCAGAGTACAGATGCTACCCACTGTACAATCCTGCCTTGGGCCTTCTGTGATTAACTGCCCACATCCTTGTCTATCTCCTCATTCGATGGTAAGTTCCTTGAGGACAGGAATTGTGACTTATCTAGGTTTGTATCCCAGAAGCATGGCTTCTACTATCTGCCTGTTTAACACAAGCCTGTGCTATGGGGGAGTGTATAATATGGAAATGAGGGCAACAGGGCATCCTCGAACTCGTTTGTCAAAGTTGACTCACTAAAGCTTAGTATCCCTGGAAATCCCAGCTTATAATATGTCTATGAAAGGCCAAGAAATTCTTCTGAACTCTATATTCTGTTATTTTCCATCTTATCACTGGTTGAAGAAAAACTAAAGCTGGAATTCAGAAGAATTTTGTGTAGTATAACATATCTATTATATTAAATATACATATGTTATATATTTTAATCCTCACCCGAGGATATGTTTCCATTGGTTTTTTTAGATAGAGTGGAAGAGAAGGAGGGAGAGAGAGAAACACTAATGTGAGAGAAACACATCGATTGGTTGTCTCCCACATGACCCCAACCAGGGCAGGGGATTGAACCTACAACCCAGGTATGTACCCTTGACTGGGAATCAATCCTACAACCCCTTGTGTCAGAGGCCAACACTCTAACCAATGAGCCAAACCAGCCAGGGCTGTATTAACTATTCTTATAGGAGCTCAGTTACCATGTGGCCTTCTCTGATATGCTGAATCCTTTGGAAAGCTTCACGTGCAAACCAGGATATCATTTATAGTAGATTACATGGTGATTGTGGATATTTCTATAAAAAGCTGAGACTAGGCTTTTGGGGGGCATAATCCTGCAGGAAGGCGGCAATCTTCTGGGACAATGGGATGCTGCCTTCCCTAGGAATGTAAATGTGCAAACTAGTTCTGTTATTCTCAGTTATTTACCTTGTTCCAGAGACAATTCAAATGTTGTATGTACAAAAACTAAAATTTAGTCAGCTAAAATCCCACGTCAGCCATTAATTTAAGCGAAGAAGCAAAAATGTATTTCAATCTACATTCGTTAGCACTCTGTTGTAATTATTGAAGTCAACTATTCTCATGGTAGAGAATAACATGTTCATTGATTTTATGCTCTGTATATAGCTCAATGACAGAAGAAAAAACAACACATATGTAGTTAAAACCCGTTAAATTGATTGTGCTTGAAGATCATACCCATTCTGGAATTTAGAAATGATCATAATAGGCCCAAAGGATTCCTCTTTGGCCAGATACATGTGGTCCTCCACGTCTGTGAAGACAGTTGGTTCCATAAAAAAGCCTATTCGAAAAACAGAGGAAAAGAACATCAATTATAGGGTACTTTTTAATGAACAGTTCTCATTCAATTGCATTATACATCTTTTTCTTCCCTCTGGGTTCGTGAAACCAAGAAGACTTTCATTTTCCTATTTGGTATTAGCATTCCCAGGTTCTTTTTTTGTTTTTAAAGTCTTTATTACAGAAATTTCAAAATAAGTAAAAGTAGAGAATATAGTATCATGAATAGTAAAAATTAGGACTTATTTATATTTTGCTATATTTGATTAATTTTTCCCTTGCTGAAATACTTTAAAGAAAATTCCAGAGATTACAACTTTGACCTCCAAGTATTTCAGTACAAATCTGTAAAAAAAAAAAAAAAAAAGGCATTTTCTTACATACCACACAATGGATTATCACACCTAACAAATGTATGCTAATTTCTTATTCATAATTATATTTCAATTTCTGATTGTCTAGAAAGATCTTGTTACAGTTGATCTGTTCAGTTCAGGATTTAAATAAGTTCTACACATTGCCTTTTGTTGTTAAATCTCTCAAGTAGTCTTTAATCTAGAATGTTTCCCCCTTATCCCTGCCCTGTAGAAAATCTTGCATTTTAGATTTGTCGTTGCTTCCTTGGAATAATATTTGATTTGTTCTTCTATCTGCTGTATTTCTTGTAAATGGAAAATTTGACCTAAAGGTATGATTAGGTTCAGATTAAACCTTTTTGGGCCCAGCCAGTGTGGCTCAGTGTTGAGCCTCGACCCATGCACCAGAGGTCGCTGGTTCGATTCCATGTCAGGGCACATGCCCAGGTTGTGGGCCCGATCCCCAGTGGGGGGCATGCAGGAGGCGGCCAATCGAAGTTCTCTCTCATTGATGTTTCTATCTCTCTCTCCCTCTACCTTCCTCTCTCTCTAAAATCAATTAAGAAAAAAATATTTAAAAAAAAATAAACCTTTTTGGCAAGACTATTTTACAGGGGATGCTGTGTGTTACCTATTGCATCTCGTAGGAGACACGTCATATCCAATTGTTCTGCTCTTGCTGATGCTAAGATTGACCAGTGGTTCTAAGTGGTGACAACCTGACCCTTCCATTATAAAACTGTGCTTTTCTCCTGACTGGCAAGCAGTCTTGGAGGTGATACCTTGGTATCTTACACATACTCAGGTCTCCGTCAACCTTTTGCCTAATAACTCATGCCTCCCTGCTGATCATCACCTGAATCAATTATTTCATTCAAGTAGGGAGTGAAAATTAGTGATTCTTTTTATTCTATCATATTTTTCTACATTAATTATCAGGGATTCTTCTGCAAACTAAAGTCTTCTTTATCAGCTACTTAATTATCCAGAAATTCAGTTCATATAGAAAACAGGATGAATGTTGAATTCTTTCTCCTAATTACCGATTTTCAGAGTAGAATGTTGGTGCACAGTCTAGCCACAGGAGTGAAAAATGAGTTTTTGCAGCTGTGTGCCTTTTTTTCTTTTTGGGTATCATGACGGCGAGCCGTTCATGTATTGCAGTACCAGGTACTGCTTTAGACAAGAGGAATGGCCCTCTCCCGGGCCCTGCTGGCTGAGATGAAATCGCACGGCCAGGAAGACCAGCAGCTCCTGGGTAACACAGTGGCCCGTTACACTTGTTCACTGCACAGCCGGGGGCCTGTCGTGCCCATTTTGTTACTGGATTTTCGCAGCCTCACAAAGCAGGGTGTGCAGGTTTCATCCCACTTTACACGGGAAGCTAAAAAACCAACAACTGTGTTGTCCCAGGTGCCACAGCTTTTATGTGGCCAGGCAGGAGCTAGAAATTAATTCTTCTGACTTTTGAGGCAAGCTGGTGGTGCTATAAAACCTGTTGCCATCTAGTCCAGCTTAAGAAGCCAGGCTCCCCTTAGACCTCCGGAAGTGATCTTACCTGGCCTTGGAACTTGTCTCCCCCCGTACACCAGGGTGGCCCCCTCTTTCACGCCTGCTTCACAGTATTGCAGAAGTTTCTCCAGATGGGCCTTATGATTCTGGGGCCCGTGGTCAGTAGATCTGTCAAGCGGATCACCAATTTTCATCTTTTTGATTTCTTCCACCTGTATGTCACCCAGTCCACAAAACAGAATCAACTGTTAATAATAGTAATGGATACCTTTAACTGAGCTTCTACCACGTGGTGGGTGTTGCATTAAGCTGTTAAAAGATGAGTGATCATTTAGTCTTCAAAGCAGCACTAGAGACGGGTATTTATTGTTCCCATCTTACAGATGAGAAAACCGAGGCTTAGAGAGGTTAAGTGGCTTGCCCAAGGGCACACAACCACAAAATACTGTGGTTTTGTTAGGCTCTTTACTACTGAGCCCTAACACAACATAAGTTACAAATGTTATTTTAAAATTATCCTGAGGATGGATATGCATAGCCCACAGACACAGACAACAGAGTGGTGGGGGTGGGGTGGGGGCTGGGCAAAGTGGGTGAGGAATGGAGGACATCTGTAATAGTGTCAACAATAACAAATATTTATCCTGAATGCTAATCCATTAAAATAGTAAATCTTCCCTGGCTATTTTGCTCAGTGGTTGGAGCGTCGGCCCGTGGACCAGAGAGTCCCAGGTTCAATTCCCGCTATAAGGGCACATACCTTGGTTGCAGTTCATCCTCGACCCTGGTTGGGGTCGTGCGGGTGGCAACCAATTGATGTGTCTCTCTCACATCGATGTTTCTCTCTCTTCCTTCCTCTCTCCCTCCAGCTCTATCTAAAGATACATGCAAAAATGTCCTCGGGTGAGGATAAAAAAAAAAAATAGTAAATTGGATGTTCTGGAATTTTTGTTACTACAGCGTACTTACACTCACAACACAAAACATTTCCTAAATGGCCACATTGTTATCTCTCCCCAGATGTGGCGGACTGCCCTTGGGAAATTCTCGCGGCCTGGCCATGCCAGAGGAATTACTCGACGATTTCGATGAAAACCCATCTTTATTGAGCGATGTCCGTCACGGACGTGTCTTTGCAATAACTTCTTGTGCCTCTCAGTTATCTCAGTGTATGTCTGCGTTTTCTCCTGCTAAACCCAGTTCTAGGAAGAACAAAGCATGGGGGCAACCGGGACCCCACAGGCCCCTGAATTTGAATTTAGGTCTGGCAATAATCTCTCAGGAAGTGCTCAAAAATAAACCTGTTGAACAAATGAATGAGTATAAGTCGCATGTGTATAAAATGTGTGTGTTATGGGACTAATACAGTAAATCCTTGACGTTTCTGGTCTCAGCATTTGAAATTTCAATGTTCTAGTTGTGAAAACCTATGACATGAGGTACTGTAACTATTTTACTGAATTACAGGGATATTTAGGAGGCGGCCACTGCCCACAATCTGCCTCTCCATCTGACTTCCTTGTTCTACTCTCATAAAGAAAGAATGTTTGCCTCAGGATGGGGTGAGAAAATTGGCTCAGGGAAAAAAAAAGTGGGGTGCTGGTTTTTCAACTATAAACAAATTCATGGTTGCTGTTATCACTGTAATGGTATAGTGTAGTCCAGTTTAGAGTTTACTTTAGTCACAGAATTCATCTTAATAGTACTATAAACAGCTTTTAGTCCCATATTTACAGAATCACGACCAATCTATAGTGGGTATCTGCTTATCTATCTGTTGAACTCTCTCTCTCATCTTGGTGGAGATGATATCTATCCTGTTAACTGTGAACTGAGGATGATTTGTAAGGATCTAATAGTGTCTCTCTCATAGTCCATTTAGGGGTTTATAAAAACCTCAAGTGTCAAGGATCTAATATACTATAAATGCAAGGTACAGGTAACAACAGCTCTTAAAGGTTTTTTATACAGACCTGTAACTTTTTACCATGAAAAATTATAAACACATATAAAAGTAGACAAATAATATAATAAAACTCCATGTACCCATCATCCAACTTCAACAATTACCAATTCATGGCCAATTTATTCCACCCCTTACTTCCTCCCTTCCAGGGGAGCAGGAGGGAAGCCAAGTCTAGACATTATATAATTGAACCTATAAATATGTCACAAGTAGCTCTAAAAGATAAGGACTGTGCTGTGTTTTTGAGGTTTTTTTTTTTTAATACAACCACAGGACTATTATCACACCTAAAAATTCACGAAGTCTCAGAAGTACTTTCCAAGTTTAAGCAACTTCTGTTCGACTCATGGAACCACATTTTAAAGGCACCTTACCACTCTCGTGACAAATTCATCGTGGATGGATTCTTCCACAAACAGCCGCCCCGCTGCAATGCAGTTCTCTCCTTTGTTGAAAAACACTGCTCCCATGCCCTTGGCAGCAGAGAAGAGATTGTTAACATTACTTGGGAAGACGGGATTGTCGTAAAACTGCACGTACTGAGTGAGAAGCAGATGCTATTAAAGGCGGCAGACAGCACAGAGCCGTCACAGACACACGATCCCTTGGCCCAGTTAGTGACAGAGCTGCTGGTGATGCCCAGCTTGATCTAGCACGCTCTCGGGGGTTCTGTTTCTCCTTTCCCTCCTTTGGTCCACAAGCACTTAAAGAATCAAGGGTGTAAAAATCAGGGCATACCACTGAGGGCAAATTTTGTGTCGCACGAAATCTAGATTATAAATTTAAATGTAATACTTGTATATCAGATTTTGCTTTTGAGATCTCTACACTTGTTTGTACAAACCATGAATGTTTAGAAAGACGCCCCTTCCCCCAAGTTTTCAAAACGCCTTAATGAGACAAAGTCTAAAGACATTATTTTAAAAATTAAGTGCTCTGAGTGTTCCCAAAGTTAAGCATAAAGAAGATCGTTTCTAAATAGGACTAGACAGAACTAAATCTCACTTTAGGATTTCTGATGAGCAAGGAGGTCAAATGTACTTTAGAAGTAGGTGCCTGGTTAGTTGGGTGTGACAGACTTACCATTCGCACGGCTTTGTCAAGTTCACAGTCGTTGAATATTATAAGTGGGGATTTGCCACCAAGTTCAAGAGAAACTTTCTTCAAGTTGCTCACAGCACAACTAGAGAAAAAATAAATGGGACATGAGCCTTTAGTCTCTCTCTCTCTCTTTCTCTTTCTCTCTCTCCACCATAAATTACCATTTGACATGGAAAACATAATTGAGTCTCAGAAATATTCAGAAACTCATACAAAGTCAAAACGTGAATGGCCCAATGGTGATAACTGCTGAAGCTGGGTGGTGAGCACATGGGAGTTCGTTATGCTATTCTTTGTGCTTTGTGTATATTAGAAATGTTCCATAATAAAAGGTTTTGTTTTAAGTTCTGTGGTAAATGAGAGATCCTAACAGGTACATTCAGATTCTTTAGGTATAAGAATTTGGTTCCGTAAAGGCCTGGCAAGGAATTTAGCCTCAAACCACATTACTGGAACAGTGAAGGAAAAAATGTACAATTTTAGAGGTATGCTGTTTATTTCTCCTTTTTGCAGAAGTATTATTTTTAAAACATTTTTAAGTTTTAAATGCACAAAGAAGAAAAAATCACAATTCCATGGCTCAATGACCATTTTAATATAGTTATTCTGGTCTGCGTCCAACCATAACCTTTTCCTTATTTAACATAGTTGGGAATCACCCAATATATGCAACTTTATACCTATTTTCCTTTCCATTTACCATTTTAACAACACTTTTCACTGTTATTAAAATGATCCATAGACATGACTGCACAGCATTCTATTGTGTTGACATCCTTTAACAGCTGCCTTATTTTGGACATTTAGATTACTTGCATTTTTTAAAAAAATATTTTATTTATTTATTTTTTTGAGAGAGAGAAAGGAAAACATCAATGTGAGAGAAAAACATGGATTGGTTGCCTCCTCACACACCTTGACTGGGCACTGGGAATCAAACCTACAGCCTGGGTATCTGCCCTGACCGGGAATCGAACCAGCAACCTTTCAGTGTATGGGATGACGCCCAACCAACTGAGCCACACTGGCCCAAGATATTATTTGCATTTAAAAAAAAAACAAAAACTAATGTTACTGCGTTTTAGAAATTCAGATTTATCATTTACATGTCTTTTTGTTTCTTACTCGTGCTCCAAAACCAGTCTGGGCCACGGATCCAGGTCAGAAAATGCTTTGTGCTGGGTTGTTAAAGCTGCCAGCCGGGGGTGGAGCTTCAGCACGGCTCTAGTTTTATGGACTGTGGGCCTTACACTTTGGAAAGTATTTTATTATATTCAAACATTTCTTTTTTTTTTTTTAATCCTCACCTGAGGATTTTTTCAAATATCTTCAGATAGAGTAGGAGGAGGAGAGAGAGAGAAACATCAATGTGAGCAAGACACATCGACTGTTCCCTCCTACATGACCCCAACTAGGGCCGGGGACAAAGTGCAACCAAGTACATGCCCTTGACCGGAATCGAACCCAGGACTCTTTGGTCTGAGGGTCGATGCTCTAACCGCTGAGCCAAACCGACCAGGGCCTATTCAAACATTTCAATACCCTGCAGTGCTAAGTAGATTTCTCTTCTAAATCTGATGTGATTTTTCTCCTTCCCAAAGCACCCTATTCGAAGAAGCAAAAGCTAAACCCCAAACCTGGTTTAACAGCATCTACAGCAAACTGACACAGTCATGCCAATACCTCTTCATGATCTGTTTGCCAATAGGAGTGGAGCCAGTGAAACCAAGTTTGCGGATATGAGGGTGTTCAGAAAGGTGTTGTCCTGCGACACCACCTGCAGAATTAGGGAATCAAACATGATTTAAAATATACTTCTATTGATATTTTTAGAGAGAGAGGAAAGGAGAGGGAGAGAGAGAGAGAAACATCAGTTCGATGAGAGAACATCCATCGCCTACCTCCTGCATATGCCCTACTGGGGGTGGAGCCTGCAACCCAGCCTGTCCCCTGACCAGAAATTGAACTGGCAACCTCTTGGTTCACAGGATGATGCTCAATCCACTGAGCCACACCGGCTGGGCATGATTTAAAACATGAGTTAAGTTCTTATGGCCAGGATGGCTTTGAATTCATTGAAGGAGATTTCTAAGCTCTCATTTAAATCTTAGTTTTACATTTTTGGTATTAATTATAAACTGACAAAAATCTACATAATGTTCTCCATGCAACTGTCATTCACCCCACCCATCACCCTCAAAGATGGGTAAGCCTTGGGTTTTGGTTTTTATCTTCCAAAATAGTTTTCAAAAATTTAAATGGGCCACTTTAAGGTAGTTTCACAATGCTGTACAATTTCTGCCCTTCCGGCCCCACTCATGCACCATTATATTTCCATTTTAGGATTTTAGGGCACGGTAAGTATATTTATCCTTAAGTTAACTGTCTGGGAAACAGTATTTAGTTTTATATAGTTATAATTCAGGACAGACTCAAGTGGGAAAACAGCCACTCAGCACTCCTGTACCATTCATTAACTGCAGCGAAGTGGGTCCTCTGGCTTACCTGAGCCTGGTATGATGTTGATTACCCCCTTCGGAAAGCCTGCTTTAACAGAGAGCTCTGCAAACTTCAAAGCAGTCAAGGGCGTGACCTGAGCAGAAGCAGACGGAATGACCTTCTTCAGATTCCTCCCTGTCCTTTAGCTCAGTACCCAGCTTTCCCTCTATGGCCACACTAAGGTTCATTTTATTTTTACTTTTATTTTGACATACATTCAGACTTACAGCAAAGTAAAAAAAAAAAAAGTACAAAGAATGCACGTCTCTGATTTTAAGTAAATGGGAGGTGATGCACCGGCCGCTTGCGTCTCACCTGCGCTGGCTTGAGCACTAAGGTATTGCCCGCTGCCAAGCAGGCGGCGCTCTTCCACGCCAGCATCATCAGCGGGTAGTTCCAGGGGATGATAATGGCGCAGACACTGCAGAGGAAGAAAGACGACATCCTCAGTTGTCTCGAACTAGCACAAGACACTCAGAGGCGCTTTCCTTGTCTTACCCAAGGGGCTCTTTCTTGGTGAAGGTCAGATTGCGATTTGGACGGGCCTGGTTGATGGGAATGGTAGAACCCTAAAAAACAAAGAAGTAAAGGTACTTACTTTACTTTCTGAAATGAGTAGATTTAATCTGTTTCAAAATAGGTTAGAGATTTGAGGATATTATAGATGGTTTAAATTTTTTTTCTTTAATCTCAGCGAGTCCATTTTCTGCCTGCCTCTCTTGGGTTTTTTTCTAGCTGATATGAAAAGGCAGTGTTCAATGTATAAGCAATCTACCACACCAAGAAAGGAACTGCTATTTCTTTCTCGAATGAACTGGGGCACAGGAGAATAAACGTAATTCTAATTTATTCACCTCCATTCCAATTTCTTGGCATGGTAGAGAATGTTAATTGTCTGCCCAACATCCATTCTCCCCTCTGTCCTTAGTGACAGAAACTCTATATTAATAATGGTGATGGTGCCCGGCCAGTGTGGCTCAGTGGACTGAGCAACATCCCATGGACTGAGAGGTCCCCAGTCGATTCCCAGTTGTGGGCTCGATCCCAAGTAGGGGGTGTGCAGGAGGCAGCCAATCGATGTTTCTCTCTCACATCAATGTTTCTATATCTCTCTCCCTCTCCCTTCCTCTCGCTCTAAAAAAAAAAAAAAATCAGCCCTGGCCAGTTTGGCTCAGCGGTTAGAGCGTCGGCCTGCGGTCCGGAGAGACCCGGGTTCGGTTCCCACTAAGGGCACATACTTCGGTTGCAGTTTGTCCCCGACCCTGGTTGGTCGTGCGGGTGGCAGCCACTCGATGTGTCCCTTCACGTCGATGTTTCTCTCTCTCTCTCTCCCTTCCTCTCTCTCCCTCCCACTCTATCTGTACAAAAAATGGAAAAATATCCTCGGGTGAGGATAAAAAAATAAAAATAAAAAAAATAAAAAAAAGAGGGAAAAATGGCGGCGGAGTGAACGGAGCTACACAGACCGTCTCCCAGAACCAAACTGGAATTACAACTATAACACAGACAAATCGACGGAAAAAAACAACAGAAAAGCAGCTTGGAGGACCATACAACGCAGGACACTGACTCCATCCCGGTAGGATTGCGAAGGCGCGAGACGGGGCTGGGAGCGCACGGTCGGCAGCTCGGCAGCGGCCTTAGCTGTAAGCGGCGCCCGCGGGTTACACTCCCAGGCGGCCCCACAGCGCAGCCGGGACAGAGGCTGAAACAGCCACAGCCACTCACCTTGGGCTCCGGCGGAGGGAGGGCAGACTGGACTGGAACTGTGTCGGGACACTCGGGGTTTGGAGGGCGCTCAGAGCTTTGGCTGAGTGCAGCCACTCAGGACGGTAGCCACATTGCTCCTTCCCAGGGCTCTGAGAGAGGCAGCAGCCCCTCCCTCGGAGATCCAACCCCACCCTGTGGGCCATTGAAGTGCTAATTGAGGCTCACTAACAACCAGCATCTGCCCCACCCTCGTGAAAGCCCCTTGGCTGAGCACCAGAGGGAGTTTTTCAATCAACTGACAACCCAAAACTCATCAATTAACCTAGACTGCTAGCCTCCAGGCAAAAAGCTAGAGGATAACAGTACGTTTCCTGGGCTGGCAACTTTAACCAGGAAAGTAAGACTTGACAGTGGTGTTCAACGCGGGTCCTCCCTCGCTCATCTAAACACAGGAGAGGGAGCCACAAACAGCAGAACACCAACACCCACAGGGAGAACTTGACAGGCTCCAAAGCCCACAGTGATAGCTAAAATGGTGAAACACAGAAACAGAAGCCAAATGAAAGAGCAAGACACCTCCACCGAAGATGAGATCAATGTGGAGCAATTAGGCATGTTAACAGAGCTAGAATTCAGAGCCATGATCTTGAGGAAGCTGAACAGCATGAGTAAAGACATAGAGACACTGAAAATAAGCCAAATGGAAATTAAAAACCAACAAGAAGAGATAAAAAATGACATATCCGAAATGAAAAACACATTGGAAGGTTTAAAAAGCAGAGTAGGGGAAGCTGAGGACCGGATCAGTGAATTAGAAGACAGGGTAGAAAAAATCAACCAATCAGAAAAACAAAAGGAAAAAACTATTAAAAAACAGGAAGACAGCTTAAGAGAACTATGGGACAACTGGAAACGTAATAATATTCGTATCATAGGAGTCCCCGAAGAAGAAGAAAAGGAGCAAGGGATAGAGAATATATTCAAAAAAATAGTGAGAGAAAACTTCCCTAATTTGGTGAAGGAAGAAGGCATTCAAGTTCAAGAAGCACAGAGAGTCCCAAGTAAGAAGAACCCAAACAGGCCCACACCAAGACACATAGTAATTAAAATGCCACAAATTAAAGACAAAGAGAGAATCCTAAAAGCAGCAAGAGATAAGCAACAGGTTACCTACAAAGGGAACCCCATAAGGCTTTCAGCTGACTTCTCACAAGAAACACTACAGGCCAGAAGAGAATGGCATGAAGTAATCAAAGTCATGAAAAACAAGAATCTGAATCCAAGACTACTCTACCCAGCAAGGCTATCATTCAAAATAGAAGATCAAATAAAGAGCTTCCCAGACAAAAAAAAGCTAAGGGAATACATTAGCACCAAACCAGCACTGCAAGAAATGTTAAAAGGACTGCTGTAATTAGCAGTAGAAATGGGAAGAAAAATGGAACCACACTAAACAAAAATGGCAATAAATAAGTACATATCAATAATCACCTTAAACGTAAATGGATTGAATGCTCCCATAAAGAGACACAGAGTAGCTGATTGGATAAGAAAGCATGACTCATCTATATGTTGTTTACAAGAGACCCACCTCTCAACAAAAGACTCACATAGGTTGAAAGTGAAGGGATGGAAAAAAATTTTCCAAGCAAATGGAAAGCAAAAAAAAGCGGGGGTAGCAATTCTCATATCTGATAAAATAGATTTCAAAATGAAGGCCATAACTAGAGACAAAGACGGCCACTACATAATATTGAAAGGATCTATCCAACAGGAAGATATAACCTTGATAAACATATATGCACCCAATATAGGAGCACCAAAATATATTAAAAATCTTCTGGAGGACTTCCAAGGAGAAATCGACAACAATACAATTATAGCAGGGGACTTCAACACCCCATTGACAGCACTGGATAGATCCTCTAGGCAAAAAATTAGCAAGGAAACAGAGACTCTAAATGAAGCACTAGACCAAATGGATTTAATAGATATCTACAGAGAATTACACCCCAAAACTACAGAATACACATTCTTCTCAAGTGCACATGGGACATTTTCAAAGATAGACCACATGATAGGACACAAACTAAATCTCTACAAGTTCAAGAAGATTGAAATCATATCAAGCATCTTCTCAGATCACAATGGCATGAAACTAGAAATCAATTGCACAAAGAACATGCAAAGACATTTCAACACATGGAGGCTAAATAGCATGTTATTAAACAATGAATGGGTCACCGAGGAGATCAAGGAAGAAATTAAAAACTTCCTGGAAACCAATGAACATGAACACACAACAACACAAAATCTATGGGATGCAGCGAAAGCAGTTCTGAGAGGGAAGTTCATAGCACTACAGGCCTACCTCAAAAAACAAGAAAAATTTCTAATTGACTGTCTAACCTCACAACTTAAAGAATTAGAAAGCAAACAAAAAGAAAACCCCAGAGCAAGTAGAAGAAAGGAAATAGTAAAGATCAGAGCAGAAATAAATGACATAGAGACCAAAAAAACAATTCAAAGGATCAATGAAACAAAGAGCTGGTTTTTCGAAAAGATAAACAAGATAGATGGACCCTTAGCTAGACTCACCAAGAAACAAAGAGAGAGAACCCAAATACACAAAATCAGAAATGAAAGAGGAGAAGTAACAACCAACACCACGGAAATACAAAAGATCGTTAACAACTACTATGAACAACTATATGGCAACAAATTCGACAATCTCAGCGAAATGGACAAATTTCTAGAAACACACAGTCTCCCAAAACTATTCCCGGAAGAGATAGAAAACTTGAACAGACCAATAACAACTAAGGAAATTGAAGAGGTAATCAAGACTCTCCCAGCAAACAAAAGCCCAGGCCCAGATGGTTTCACGGGGGAGTTTTACCGAACATTCAAAAAAGAACTAACACCCATTCTCCTCAAACTATTTCAAAAAATTCAAGAAGAAGGAAGACTTCCAAACACGTTCTATGAGGCCAGCATAATTCTAATTCCAAAACCAGAAAAAGACACTACGAAGAAAGAAAACTACAGGCCAATATCCCTGATGAACATAGACGCCAAAATCCTGAACAAAATACTAGCAAATCGGATCCAGAAATACATCAAAAAATTATTCACCATGACCAAGTGGGATTCATTCCAGGGATGCAAGGCTGGTACAATATTCGCAAATCAATAAACGTGATACACCACATAAACAAAATGAAGAATAAAAACCACATGATCATATCAATAGATGCTGAAAAAGCATTCGACAAAATCCAGCATCCATTTCTGATAAAAACGCTCAGCAATGTAGGAATAGAGGGATCATATCTCAACATAATAAAGGCCATATATGAAAGACCTACAGCCAACATCATACTCAATGGACAGAAACTAAAAACATTTCCATTAAGAACAGGAACAAGACAGGGATGTCCACTTTCGCCACTCTTATTTAACATTGTACTGGAAGTCTTAGCCACAGCAATCAGACATGAAGAAAAAATAAAAGGGATCCAAATTGGAAAGGAGGAAGTGAAACTGTCATTATTTGCAGATGACATGATATTGTACATAGAAAACCCTAAAGACTCCATCAAAAATCTATTAGACTTAATAAATGAGTTTGGCAAAGTAGCAGGATACAAAATTAACGTCAAGAAATCGACGGCATTCTTGTACATCAATGATGAACTCACAGAAAGAGAAACTGAAAAAACAATCCCATTTACCATCGCTCCAAAAAAATTACGATACCTAGGAATAAACTTAACCAAAGAAGTAAAAGACCTATTTGCAGAAAACTACAGGTCATTGAAAAAAGAAATAGAGGAAGATATAAAAAAGTGGAAGCACATACCCTGTTCATGGATTGGAAGAATTAACATAATTAAAATGTCCATACTACCCAAAGCAATCTATAGATTCAACGCAATCCCCATCAAAATACCAACGACATATTTCATAGAACTAGAACAAATACTTCAAAAGTTCATATGGAACCAAAAAAGACCCCGAATAGCCACAGCAATCTTGAAAAAGAAGAACAAAGTTGGAGGGATCACAATACCAGATATCAGGTTATACTACAAAGCGACTGTAACCAAAACAGCCTGGTACTGGCACAAGAACAGGCATATAGACCAGTGGAACAGAACTGAAAACCCAGAAATGGACCCAAGGCAATACGCTCAATTAATATTTGACAAAGGTGGCAAGAGCATACAGTGGAGCAAAGACAGCCTCTTTAATAAATGGTGTTGGGAAAATTGGACAGCTACATGCAAAAAAATGAAACTAGACCATCAACTTACACCATACACAAAAATAAATTCGAAATGGATAAAAGACTTAAATGTGACCCGTGAATCCATAAAAATTCTAGAAGAAAATGTAGGCAACAAAATTTTGGACATCATACGGAGCAGAATTTTCACTGATACATCACCTAAGGCAACAGAAATAAAGGAGAAAATGAACACATGGGACTACATCAAACTAAAAAGCTTCTGCACAGCAAAAGAAACAATCATCAAAATGGAAAGGCAACCCACTGTATGGGAGAACATCATTGCCAACGATGTATCAGATAAGGGGTTAATTTCCAGTATATACAGAGTGCTCATACAACTCCACAAAAGGAAGACAAAGAACCCAATTAAAAAATGGGCAGAGGAGCTGAATAGACACCTCTCCAAACAGGACATACAAATGGCCAAGAGACATATGAAGAAATGCTCAACATCACTAATCATCAGAGAGATGCAAATTAAAACAACTATGAGGTATCACCTCACACCTGTCAGAATGGCCGCCATCAACAAATCATCAAACAACAAGTGTTGGCGAGGGTGTGGAGAAAAGGGGACTCTAATACACTGCTGGTGGGAATGCAGACTGGTGCAGCCGCTATGGAAAACAATATGGTGCTACCTCAAAAAATTAAAAATTGAACTTCCATTCGACCCAGTGATCCCACTGCTGGGAATATACCCTAAGAAGCCTGAAACACCAATCAGGAAGAATATATGTACCCCCATGTTCATAGCAGCACTATTTACAATAGCTAAGATCTGGAAACAGCCCAAGTGTCCACCAGTAGACGAATGGATCAAAAAGCTGTGGTACATATACACAATGGAGTACTATGCAGCGGTAAGAAAGAAAGATCTCTTATCCTTTGAGACGACATGGAGGGACCTGGAAAGTATTATCCTAAGTGAAAGAAGCCAAGCAGAAAAAGACAAATACCACATGATCTCACTTATATACGGAATATAATGAACATAACAGTCTGAGGAATACAGTAGACCCAGACACATGGAAGTAGGGCACAGACTGACATCCCTCAGAAGAGGGGATGGGGGTGGGGGGGTGGGAAGAGATAAACCACAGAACTTATATGCATGTATGCATGACCAATGGACATGGACAACTAAGCCGGGGACAGGGGGGGGGGGGGGGGGGGGGGGTGCCAATGGGGTAAAAAGGTAAAATATCTGTAACAAAAAAATAAATAAATAAATAAAATTAAATAAAAAAAAAAAAAAAATAAATCAATAAAAATATATTTTTAAAAAATGGGGATGGCAATATGCCCAGATCAAAAACTGTGCCCCAGTTTTCATAGCAGATAGAGATGAACAATGGAAGATGTAAGCGCAAGGCATTGAGAGGAAAATGCTCTTTAAAGTAGGCTGATGCAACTGAGACAAGTGCTCTTGTACCCTTCCCCCCATTCCCATTTCTTCCTTCTTCCTGCTCAGAATGTTGCTGCAATGGCAGGTACTGCAGTGGTTATCATGAGACCATGAGACAGCCTCGAGTGGAGGTCACGTGGTACAAAGGATGGCCTGGCAGAGAGAGAGGGGGGGGGACCTTCATCTCACATACTAGATCTGATTGCCTGCCTCTGGACTCCTTGGAAATGGGATAAACACAAACTTCTTAGTTGCATTCTCTATTATATATATGCAACCAAAGTTAATCATAACTGATTTTATTATAGCAATCTTTAGTGAAGCTATATATTGGTTTTGCCACATAAAATATTATTGCTGTTACTAATACAAGTAAGTGTACAATCTCTATCTAAAATCCTTGGGGCCAGGTGTATTTGACCCCATAATATAATATAATGCATACACCTTATATTATATTACCTATATAATGTAATATATAGGTACTATAATGCATATATCTTATATTATATTACCTATAACCCCCAGTAGAGTCTAGGGCAGCCTCCCAAGGCATGGAGGAATGGGGTGCTTTTTAAAATCCTTTTATGTTTCTCCCCTTCCCGACTTCCTTTTTACCTATGCTGGGACTGTGGCTGTAATGGCTGGTACTGCAGTAGTTATCATGAGTCTATGAGTGGGATGTATTCTGCTGTCTGATATAAGCCCCACCTTTCCCTTTTGTAGCCCCAATGCCAAGGGCAACTATGGTTGCCATTTGTCATCACATATGTGCTATTTATTTATATAGTAAAATGGAAATGAAGTACTTATTGTTCTCATGTCTTAAATTTTCTTTTCTTATACCCAGCCTGCTAAGCCCATCTATGCTAGCTCTCTGGCCTCTGTAGACACTTGAATTTGCCATCCCTCCATGATATAAGGTTCTCCCTATATATCCAGAAGATTAGATGCCCTCAGGAGAATTGTAGTAAAGTACAAAGAACATCACTGGACTTGTTCAGAAAATTTTGAGTTCAAATCCTAGCTGTACGGTTTGCTTCCTATGTTACCATAGGCAAGTCATCCACTGCCCTCAAACCTCCGTTTTCTTCCAGGTAGTAAAGGGTAACAGGTATGTACCCACCTCACATGGCTGTTACGAGGATTAGGTGAGAAAACCTACATCAGGGCGGGCTCTGGCACCGTGTCTTTACGAACTAATAAATGCCCGTCCTTTTTCCTTTTGGAATGATCTACAGGGAGACAGACATTTGCGCTTACTTGGATTTTGTCGCACCAGCCAGCAAAATATCTGAATGTTTGCACAGACATTCCGATGTGAGTCTTCAGAGCCAAGGTGTAGACAGCACCTGAATCGAGGGCTTCAATGGTTGCCAGCTCTTCCTGGTTCGCTTCCAGTAGGTCTGCGAGTCTGTATGGTCAGTGAAAGAAACCCGTCCAACAAATATTGATTGAACCCTGTGTTGGACAAGGCACCCTCTGAAGGGCTGCTGAGAATTCTGCGACGAACACAAGTGGACCAGGCCTCTGTCCTCGTGGAGAATATGGGAAGACAGACATTAAACAAATAAGGTCGGAAATCATTTGTTTCAAGAGTTAGAAGAGAAGCAGAGGGTGTTGGAAGCCTGTACAACCGGCCTCATAAATATATGAGGTAGAACAGTGGTTGAGCCATGGTAGTTCAAGGAGGTCAAAGACGGAAAACAGTGGGCATGTGGGAAGTTTGTGAACATACAGGGAGATGTCAGAGTGCAACCCACAGCCCTGAACTCATGAGGATTTCTGGTTGGTGCAGAAATATTTCCGACGCTGACTGAACAGGATAAGATAGGACTAGATGGAATAAATTACAGGCACCACAACAGATTGGTTTGGTGTCCAGTTTCTGTGGGAGAATAAGTCTGGAACCATCTAATGATGATAAAATCGTCAAAATTCATCCTTTTTGTTCACGTTGGCTATTCGCTTTCCTTTAGTAGTTGTCTGAGTTGTCCCTTTTGGACTGTTCCAAAGCCAGGTATGAAATCCCCTACCCCAGTGTTTCTTCTAGAACCTGCTCTAAGAGATCTTTTGACCAAGGTCAGCTATTTGGCACAGATAAGCAGAAAACTTAAGTTATGGTTGAATTCATATTCTTGACATCCTTGGTTATCAATTTCTAATACCCTTTGCAGGTCTTAGTGTTTTTCTTCCTTGTTCCTTGTTTCCTATACATAAAGGAGATTTAAAATTTGTCTTTGAAAACAACGGGGTGCTGGATATTCTCCATTTGTTGCTGTTACCTAGTCTCCACCCTGCTCTGTGACCTGGAAGGATGACCTTCTTAGACTACATCACTTGGCGTCCTTACCCTCTCACGGGGGTTGGCCAACGAGAGTCGAATGTGCGGCACTCCCAGAAGATGGTGAACTAGAGGCAAAGTGGTCGGGAATCGGAATGCCCCGGCTGCCTCACAGATGGGCTGTGGTTCAGCAGCTGCTGAGCCCCCAGCCACAAACCACCAGAGTGTGGTCTCCTACAGCTTTAGATCTGGCCAGAATCTAGTGACAGCCCCTTCCGCTGTCTCTTCAGACCTTGGAGTAGTGGGAGCTGCCCCCAGCTGCTACCCTTGTAGGGTACCTCGTTATCCCTTGACCTTGCATATATCTTGGTGAATAGTCCTCTTTTTTTTTTTTAATTCTCACCCGAGGACATTTTTCCATTTTTTGTTCAAATAGAGTGGGAAGGAGAGAGAGGAAGAGAAAGAGAGAGAGAGAGAACCATCAACGTGAAAGGGACACATCGAGTGGTTGCCACCTGCACGACCCAACCAGGGCTGGGGACAAACTGCAACCAAGGTACGTGCCCTTAGTGGGAACTGAACCCGGGTCTCTCTGGACTGCAGGCCGACGCTCTAACTGCTGAGCCAAACCGGCCAGGGCTAAATAGTCCTTTATTAAACTTCTTTTCCTACTGGGACCTTGACTGATACAAACAATAATACAAAAGTCAGAAACTCACATCTATAAAATTTTACATGATGTAAGAAACAGAAGACATATTATGGAATAGGTGTGGGTTAGGGTGTTTTGAAGAAATATTTTAAATCTGGACAATGTTAGTCAATATCAAAGTTCGCAGACTTGCGTTTAAAAAAAAAAACATACTTGTACATCAATCTTCCTCTTTCTCTCGCATTCATTCTTCCCCATTCACCATTTTCAAAGGCATCTTTGGCTGCTGCTACTGCTTTATCAACATCCACCAAAGAAGCATAGGATACTTTGCATATTGTCTATTTCAAGATGAGTAAAAATAGGTTGAAGATTATTTTATAGCAAGATATATGAATATGCTTCTTAGAATTAATCTCATATTATGAAATTCAGAAATTTTACGATGGAAAACCAATACATCCAGTAATAAAATAAACCAAAAGAAACAATTTCAACCTGAAAATTGTGAGCCTGAAGTTTGGTACTTCTTGTGTCACGCTGCATTATGGAAAGACAGATTTAGGAAAACTAGAACTATTTCTTCTAGTGCCGTAGGAAAGCTGAGTTTCTTGCCATGAGCCTTCAAAGTCTGAAAATTTCCCCCCACATATAGCTTTATGTGTAGGTGTGCCTCAGATGTGGACATGTATCTGTCTAAACTCACCATAAATATGCTTTCTATAAAATAGGCTACTATAGTTAACAGCAGCCAGAAACAGAATTGAATAGTTGAAGGAAGGCATGAACTACAGTAACCTCTTGAGACTATCTCTTTTACAGCTGTGTATAAACTAAAAATCCATGACAGAGTAACTACTCACAGAGCCGTCTGTTGGGTTGATAGTGTCGTAAGTCTTTCCATCATCAGCATCTGTGAACTGTCCATTTATGAAACACTGATATGGCATTTTTACTGTCATTTCATTGACCTCCTTTGAAACCTAAGAGAGAGAAGTATAATAATAGGTTCATTGGATTTCTGTGCTTCTCCATTTGATACTGAATAGCAATGAAGAAGCTTATTCACCAATGCAGAGGGAGAAGTTAAGTCACTGGGATTCTAATTCCCACTGTCCAGAAGTGACGAGCACATATAAGACCTGGGCCTCACGATGCTCAGATTGGCTGCTGAGGCAGGAGGTTGGCATCTGTGATGACCAAAGTGCTCAAGGCTGGGCTGTGTAAACATCTGATTTTCCCCCTGGCCAGTTTGGCTCAGCAGTTAGAGCAGCAGCCTGTGGACCAGGGAGCCCCGGGTTTGATTCCGGCCAAGGACATGTACTTCGATTGCTGTTTGTCCCCAGCCCAGGTTGGGGTCGTGTGGGTGGCAACCAGTCGATGGGTCTCTCTCACATCAATGTTTCTCTCTTTCTCTCTCTCTCTCTCTCTCCCACTCTGTCTGAAGATAAATGTAAAAAAAGTATCCTTGGGTGAGGATTAAAAAAATAAAATAAAGATCTGATTTTCTTCCTTACACAGATGACAAAACATTAACTCAAAAGACCTCCAGATAATGGAAACACCACCATCTAGTGGTAACATCTATGGAGTGCAGCCATTTATATCTATTTCTATCTATCTATCTATCTATCTATCTATCTATCTATCTATCTATCTATAGTTGTTGTTGTTGTTAATCCTCACCAGAGGATATTTTTCCATTGATTTTTAACACAGAGTGGAAAGAAGGAAGGGAGAGAGGGAGAGAAACATCAATGTGAAAGAGACACATTGACTGGTTGCCTCCCGCACAACCCCAATCGGGGCCAGGGATCTAATCTGCAACCCAGGAACGTGCCCTCGATTGGGATATGAACCCACAAACCTACAGTCCCCAGGCTGACACTCTAACCGATGACCCAAACTGGACAGGGTGAAATTGCCTTTATCAATAGGTTTTCTTTTACACTGGAGCCATTTTGAATTTTCTTTCCTTATGTTCCTCCCCATTTTCACTTTCTCTCTCTTACCTATGTGTTGCCTAAACTGTACTCTCTACTCTTAGCTAATGAGTGAATTTTGGTTAGTCCATTAACCTCTATGAACCTTAGGGTTTTGTTTTGTTTTTTAACAATAAAGTGGGCATAATGATACCTGCATTATACAGTTATTATGAGGAAAAATTGAGATACTATATGTGAAAGAACACTTTGGGCATAAATTCCATATCAATGCAAGATATTAAAAAAGAAATTTAATGGTTTAAAAAATCATTTTGTATAAAGAAACTAATGATACCTAAAGAAGAAACAAAAAATAGCAAGAGGGTATCATGCCTTATCCCATATCAAGTACTCACATTTCATGAAATATTTCCAGGTGTTCACATAGAATATAATGAAGGAAACTTCATCCAAATAAATGTGTTCAGTCCCTGCATATAGTCTAGTTTTATAAACTCATCATTCTGGAAATCTGCTAAGTGTCTTACATGTATTATCTAATTTGAGTCTCTCAACAATCCTATGAGGTAGATGTTATTATGGTGCCATTTCACATCTGGGGAAACTGAGGCTTAGAGAAGTTAAGTAACTTGCCAAAGGTCACATGACTAGTAAGCAATGTTACTTGGATTTAAACCGAGGTTAGTCTGAATCCAAAATTCATATTCTTAACCAGATGATGTTAAAAGAATTTCCAAATTTATTTAACTTTTATTTACTTATTTATTTTAAATCCTCACCTGAGGATATTTTTCCATTTATCTCCAGAGTAGGAGGGAGAAAAAAGGGAAAGAGAGAGAGGGGGAGAGAGAGAGAGAGAGAGAGAGAGAGAGAGAGAGAGAGAGAGAGAGAAACATTGATGTGAGAGAAACACATCAATTGGTTGCCTCATGCATGACCCCAATCAGGGCTGGGGACCGAACCGCAACTGAGGTATGTGCCCTTGACTGGAATCGAACCTGTTACTCTTTGGTCCACGGGCTGACCCTCCAACTGCTGAGCCAAACCACCCAGGGCTTAACTTTTATTTTTTTTTAAATTGATGAGAAGTACTTCTGGAATAGTAGATTAAGGGATTCTGTGTGCCTGAGTCTTCACACACTTCCTGCTTGCATAGAGCCTCAGGTCAGCTAGAGATAAAAGGTTAGGACTTTCTCAGGTCTTTCCTGGGCACATGCACAAGTCCTACATATATGTTGGCCTTCTAGATTCCCAGAAATATGTCAGAGCTTCTTAAAGCTTTTTATGGATATCTCACACCTGTTTTTCTCATTGCTTTTATGAAGGAGTAAGTTTACAATCATTAGCTGACCACAAAGTTAATTGAGTAGAGAATTCAATGGTGGCCAAGAACAAAAAACACAGGCTTTAAAGAGTTAGCCCAAACAAAAACAAATTAATAATAATAATAAAAAGTTAGTCCTAGAAAGTTACTAAACAAGAAAAAATCAACAACAGCTACCAGTAGTTGCAACAACTTCTGTGAAGGTGGTGGTGGGGGTTGGGGGTGGAGGGTCTGATTTCCCGAGTTGCCACATTTTATTATTTAAAATTTCTGATTTTCAACAAAAGATTATAAGATGCACAGAAACAGGGAAGAAAGGCCCATACACAGACGGGGAACAGCAGTCAATGGAAACCATCCCTGAAGAAAACAAGGCACTAAATTTATTTGACAATTTTTTTTTTTTAATCCTCACCCGAGGACACTTTTTGCATTCATAGAGCAAGAGAGAGAGAGAGGGAGGAAGAAAGAGAGAGAGAAACATTGATGTGAGAGACGCATTGAGTGGTCGCCACCCACACAACCCCAACTGGGGCCGGGGACAAACGGCAACCGAGGTACGTGCCCTTAGTGGGAACCGAACCCAGGTCTCTCCAGACCGCGAGCCAACACTCCAACCACTGAGCCAAACCAGCCAGGGCATATTTGACAAATTTTTAAATAGGCTTTTATAAATATGTTCGAAATACTAAAGGAAACTGTATTGAAAGAATTAAAGGAAAGTAAGAAAATAACATCCAAACAAATATAAAAAGAGCTAAGAATTTTTTTTTAAGAACCAAATAGAAATTCTAGAGTTGAAAATTGCAATAACTAAAATTTAAAAATTCACTAGAGGAGTTGAACAGTAGATTCAAGTTAGCAGAAGAAAGAATTAGAAACTAGATAATAGATATCCAGTCTGAGAAACTGGGGAAAAAGAGAGAATGAAGAAAAACAAACAGAGCTTTGGAGTCCTGTGGAATACCATGAGATGTACCAACACATGCATAATGGGAGTCCCAGAAAGGGGGGTGGGCAGAAAGAATATTTGAAGAAATAATGGCTGAAAATGTCCCAAATTTGATGAAAAATATTAATCTGCACATCCAAGGAACTAAAAAACTCCAAGTAGGATAAACTCAGGGATCCATCCTAAATACGTCATAATAAAATGGTCAAAAACAAAGACAAAGAGAGACTCTTGAAAGCAGCAAGAGAGAAGCAACTCATCACATAAAAGGAATCTTCAATAAAATTAACAGATGACTTAGCTTTAGAAACAATGGAGGTCAGAGGCAATAGGACAACATATTCAAAGTGCTGAAAGAAAAAGACTGTCAACCAAAAATTCAATTTACAGCCAAAATATCCTCCAAGAATAAATGAGAAATTAAGTCACTCCCAAATAAACAAAAACTGAGGAAATTCATTGCCAGCACATTGCCCTTCAAAAAGTACTAAAAGGTGTCTTTCAGGCTAAACAAAGAGGATACAAGACAGTAACTTAAATCTACATGAAGAAATAAAGGCAAATACAAAAGTCAGTATAAATGTAAAAGACAACTGCATAAAGCAATAATTAAAAAACTATGTTGGTGAGCTTATAATGTATAAAGATGTAATTTGCATGGTAATAATAGCAGAAATGAAGGTTAGGGAGCAGAGTACATTGCAGCAAAGTTTTCCTGTACTGTTGGTATTAAGTTGGAATTAATCTGAATACAGATGTTTTAAGCAAAAATGTCCATTGTAATTCTTAAGGCAACCACTAAGAAAATAACCAAATATATATATAATAAAAGTAACAATAAGGGATTAGACTGGCATACTAGACAATATTCATTTAACACAAAAGGAAGGAGTAAAGACAGAATAGAGAGTGAAAAAGGCATAAGACAAGACATATAGAAACACAAGTAACAAAAGAACAAATATAATTAATTAGGCTTAACCAAATTTTAAAACTTTCTTAAAGCTCAAAAATTAAAAAGACAAATTTCCAATTGAAAATGGGCTAAAGATTTGAATAGACATTTCTCCAAAGAAGATCTACAAATGGCCAATAAGCACACGAAAAGATGCTCATCAGCAGTCATTAGGGAAATGGAAATCAAAACCACAATGAAATACCAGTTCACACCCATAACGACAGCTGAAATAGAAAAGGCAGACAATAGTAAATAGCAAATTTTTGACGACATGGAGAACTGAATCTTCCTACATTGCTCGTGGGATTGCAAAATGACATAGCTACTTTGGAAAAGAGTTTGGTAGTTCCTCAAAAAGTGAAACATAGAGTTACCATATAACTCATCAACTCCACTTCTAAATACATACCCAAGAGAATCAATAATATATGTTCACACAAAAACCTATACATGAATTTTCTTTCTTTTTTTTGTATCCTCATCTGAGGACATTTTTTGATATTTTGTTCAGATAGAGTGGGAGGGAGAGAGAGAGAGAAACATCGACATGAAAGGTACACATCGAGTAGCTGCCACCCGCACAACCCAACCAGGGCCGGGGACACACCGCCACTGAGGCACGTGCCCTTAGCGGGAACCAAGCCCGGGTCTCTCGGGACCACAGGCTGACACTCTAACCACTAAGCCAAACCAGCCAGGGCTTATACATGAATTTTCATAGAAACATTATTTGTAATAGTCAAAAAGGGGAAACCCCCCAAATGTACATGAATTAATGAATGGATAAACAAAATGTGGTATACTGGGAATATTATTTAGCCAGAAAAAGGAATGAAGTGATAGTATATGTCTCTATGACATGGATGAATCTTGCACTAATTACGCTAAGTAAAAGAAGCCAGATGCAAAATGCCACATAGTGTATAATTCCTTTTGTATGAAATACCTACAATAGGCAAATCCACAGAGACAAAAAGTAAATTAGTGGTTTCTGGGGGCCAGTGTCCGGGGAGGAGAGCAGAGAATGATTGCCAGTGGTAACAGGGCTTTGTTTGAGGTGATACAGATGTTCCATAATCAGGTAGTGGTGAGAGTCGCATAACTCTGAATATACTAAAACCACTGAATTCACCCCGTCAGTGTAGCTCAGTGGGTTACGCATCATCCCATGGACTGAGAGGGCCTGGTTTGATTCCTGATCAGGGCATATGCCTGGGTTATGGGCTTGATCTCCAGTGGGGGGGCATGTGGGAGGTGGCCAGTGGACATTTCGCTCTCACATCAATGTTTCTATCTCTCTCTCCCTTCCTCTCTCTCTAAAAAATCAATAAAAACATTTAAAAATAAATAAAAACCACTGAATTCTACATTGTGAAAGGGTAAATTTTATGGTATTTGAATTATATCTCAATATAACTGTTATTTTTATTTATTTATTTATTTTTAATCTTCACCTAAGGATATATTTTTTTCCTACTTATCTTTAGATAGAGTGGGAGGGAGGGAGAGAGAGAAAAAGAGAGGGAGAGAGAGACAAACATCGACGTGAGAGGGACACATCGATTGGTTGCCTCTTGCATGACCCCGACCAGGGCCAGGGACCAAACCACAACCAAGGTACGTGCCCTTGACCAGAATCAAACCCGCGACTCTTTGCTCTGCAGGCCCATGCTTTAACCACTGAGCCAAACTGGCCAGAGCACAGCTATTATTTTTAAAAGGTTGCAGGTGTAGCCCAGATGGTGTGGCTCAGTGGTTGAGCATCGACTCGTGCACCAGGAGGTCGCCAGTTTAATTCCTGGTCAGGGCACATGCCCAGGTTGTGGAACTGATTTCTAGTGCGGGCATGCAGGAGGCGGCCAATTGATGTTGTCTCTCATCGATGTTTCTGTCTCTCTCTTCCTTCCTCTCTCTCTAAAATCAATAAAGAAAAAAAATATTTTAAAAAAGAAAAATAAATAAAAGATTGTAAGCGTAAAAACAAGTAGATGAAAGATATAGAAAGAACTCTTTTATAGTACTGCAGGGATCTTATTTAGATTTTAAACCCCATAGACTTACATAATCCACTTCTAGCTCCGCTTCCTGATCTTCTCCTCTCAGTTTCCTCACGACTTTTTGGATGAAGTCTTCAAACTTGGTGGCCATATAGACATCTTCATTCTGTAACTGAAGCCCACCACATTTCTGTCTGATCTCTTCAACCAGCCTTCAAGGAAGAACCAGCTCATGTTACTTACATTTTTTTAAATATAGTTTAGGGGAGTTGTATTATTACATTTATCAAGTTTCTCTGAAGTAAGATTTATGTCACACGCCCTTTTGTATCCTATAAGATCTATGATAGTAATTAGAGAAATTGATCTCACTGGGGGAAATTAAAAAGCTGTCTGCAGGGACAATGGCAGTCCTTTATCTCTGCCTAAAGAAAAAAGAAACCAAGACAAAAACATTTTAATTACTTGCAATGCAAGCAAGATAATAAGGGGCTCATAAAATCAGTTCCTTTCCTTTCAAATGCAGTTAAGGAATAAAAAATAAAGGAAATGTCCTAACTGTAAAGATTATGAGAAATACAAGTCATATTGTAGAATATTTTCTCTAGATTGTGTGAAAAAATAAAACAAATGTTTGTTTGTATTACATGATTAATATAGGTACTAATTAGAACCATAGATCAATATAATTTTTTGGGGGGTATGTGCCCCTAGTGGGAACCAAACCCAGGACTCTCTGTTCTGCAGGCTGACACTCCAACCGATGAGCAAAACTGGCCAGGGCGGTCAATATAATTTTTGAAGTCTTTTCCAACCCTTTGATTTTTCACTGTTAATTTTTCAAATTACAGCTGTTATTTGACATTTCTTGAATAGCAGTAGTATAGAAAGTCTACCACAGTTCAGTCATTTATTCTCTAAAAGAGATGAGATGCCTTGGTAGTTGAAGATAATAACAGATGATTCTGATAAGTCAGACACTCAAACAGGAAATGGGTAATGCCCACAAGAGAATCTTGTTAGCAAAAAATTTAGTACTAAAAGTACAGCATTGAAATCTTTAGTTGAGCAAGTTGGAAGTTTCTGGGAAGTCATGAGTCATAGCTGAGAAATCTGTAACCTGAGGAACCAAAACTCTTGACTTTTTATAACGACATTTCCTTTTGAGATGAACATTTTTTATTACTGAACTAAAAAAGCTTCATGAAAGAAGGGACCTTGTCTTGTTTATGACTATATCTCCAGAGCAAAACAACAACAACAACAACAAAAACTGTTCCTGATATGTAGTAAATGTTCGGCAGATTTTGTTAAATAAACAAGTAGATAAATGAAGAGAATATTCGTCAAGAACACACTTGCTTTGTTGACATGAAGGATTGTGTCGAGAGGAGTAACATTCTTCGTCTTGTTTAGTTAGTGAATGGCCGTAGTGTCAGAGGAAAAACACCACTGCAACACTCTCCACTGTTAGCATCCTGATACACTCTCCCTGCCACGCAGGGGCTTTCTAGGACTCTAGCCTTTTCAAACTGCTGTAAACCTCTGCAGAGAAATTCTGACTATAGGGTGATGATCCTTATTCTCACGAGCAGCCTGATAATTCTCATTCTGCATAGATCTTACTGGGCAATTTTGGAGAGAAAAAGAAAAAGATTTCGGTGGAAAATGTAATCAAGGTCAGGTATTCTTCTGGATCAGACCACGTGGGAAATTCCTGATGAACATTTTCACTCAGAATGTCCCACTTCCAATGTCATATTGGAGGAAAATCAGCTAAGAAATATAAAGACAAATTTTTAAAGGAGACAACCAATTTGAAGGGTTGCTTTTCTGGGCGTATAGGAGATGTGAAAATAACTCCTGGTTAGCAGCAAAGAGAAGGGAGCTAATATGTGTTTGACCGTGGAAACAAACAAACCAAAAAAGATGAGGAGAAGTGGAATCTGATGAACATAATAAACTGACGAACGAAAAAGTTCCCAAGGCATGGATACATGGGACACGCTGACATATCTCGGGGAGGTGGGGAAGACGGGAAGAGATTAACCAAAGAATTTATATTACATATATGTATAGCCCATGGACACAGACAACAGTGTGATGAAGGCCTGGGGTAGGGCAGGGATGGGAGGAGGGGGGCAAAGGGGGAGAAAATTGGGGGTCATCTGTAATGCTGTTAGCAATTATATATGTGAAAATAAAGGTGTGTTGTCTTAAAAAAAAGATGAAGAGAAAGATAGTAGACAGGTAGGATAAAGTAGTAACATCCAGCACAAAGGATTAGGTTTGATCTCCAAAGTCAAGTCAGAATCCCTAGAGGAGAGGTATGAGTGAGTAAGGCAGTGTTTTTACCTGACAACATCCATTGAGCTTGCTCCAGATTTAAAGAAGTCTGTCGAGTCTTCAATAACAGGGACGTTGCTTAAAATTCCAGCCCAGATGACCTATACAACACAGGTAACTTTTATGAGGGATGTACCATGTAGAACACTGGCAGAGACTGGCTAGTTCCTCAGCAAACCTATTGCTTCATCTTGGATACAAGGCTTGACTACATTTCTCAGCATCTCTTCAAGTCAGATGCAGCTGTAAAACTTATCTAGCCAATGAATATGGGTGGACATGATCTGCATTCCAGTCTTGGCCCTTGGAAAACTTCCCTCACACAATTCTCTGTGCTCTTTTGCCTTTCTTGGCTGTCTGGAATAGAGATGACCCCCAGGGTGACCTTGAAGACAGCAGAGCCCGAGTCCCTGAATGACTCTACCCCTAATCCTCATGTTCCAGCTTTACCCCTAATTCCAATGCCCAACCTAAAACTACCTTGGATTATTTATGTGAAAAATAAATCCACATATAAATCTGGGGGCTGGTTTCTTATTGTAGCAAATACAAAAAAGAGGAAATAAAATCCCATCTCCACTACTTTGAGTACTGATGGTACCAGGTACAAAAGTGCTTCCGTTTTCCAAGTTAAGAAACATAGTAAGGACATCACATGCTCACCTTGATGGTCTCTGCCACCTTCACCTCTTCGGCTGTAAGTTCTACTGCTGATGTTTCACCCGCTGAAAAGTACTGAGAGGCAGGAATCATTTTTCCATCTTCAAACTGTAGATTTCTCACCATCAGCTACAAAATAGCAACAAAATAAGCAGAGGAACTGAAGATTTGGACAATTCAAAAGTTGGTGGGAGAAGGAGTCATATATTATATTTATTTAAGAAGTAGATTATTTGGCAAATGCAAAAATATGGACGAAGAGCACTTACTGTTATGTGCAAAAGGACTGAAATAGTATTAACAATGGCAGCAGAAAGGGTTAAGTCTAGGGTTCAATACATCTCAAAACGAATAATAAGTCCCTGATGTAGGTATTTGGACTAAAACCTACTACAACTACTACTACTGCTATCATCTGAACATTTACTCCAGCACGCACAGTGCTTAGTATGTATATGCTGAAGTATCTTATTTAATCTCATAAATCCTATTGGATGTGAGTGCCATTATTATCCCTCCTTACTGATGGAGAAATGCCACACAGCTAATAAGTAACAGAGCTGGGGTTACACCCCAGAGCTAGCTGGACCTGAAGCCTATAACTAATCTATCCTGCAGGCTAGCAGAGAATATCTATAATGTGGCAAATTCCCTTTTGCTTTCTTCGTGGGGAAGCTACCCAAGAGCCCACTGAGGCCAGAGGCCAAGCCCGAGCACAGGGAGTGTGGGTGGGCACCAGCCTGCTGAGGCAAAGGCAACGAGCATCTAAAAGAGGACCACATTCACCTCATTTGATCCTCCCCGACTCTGGCAGTGGGAAGACAGATGGGATTACTCTCTGTTTTATAAATGGGGAAACAGACCCGGAGGGGAGAAGCATCCTGCCCAAGACCAGTAAGTGGCAGGCAGAGCAAGGATTCACATCCTGTTTCCTGACTAAGTTCCCAGCTCTTTCTATTGTGTCGCAAAGCAGCCTGTGAGGTCCTTGGGGTCATTGTTCTCATCCAAGCACATTGAGCCAGGCCCTCCCCGGAGGAAAATGGGGCACAGATATCTTGAGCCTCCCACACCCCACTGCAAAGCCAGATCGCCTTGTGAAAGACAGTCCCTTAATAGCTTGGGTTCTGGAGGGAAACCAAAAAGGGTATTTTATAAGTAACCATACTGAACACTTACTGCTTTTCCATCATTACCAAAAAGAACAAGTCCGTTTTTGGTAACGAGGCCAGGCTTCTTGGCACCTTTAATTTCCAGTGGTTCTCCAGGAGGCACGGAGCTGTTCAGTAGTGAAGAACCATAGAACGTGACGATCTGATAAAGAGATCAAACCTCTGAGTGGGTGCGTGCAAGCAGTACTCTCAGCAAAAAAAAAAAAAAGGTGGGATTATCATTTACGAGAAAATCGGGACACCCCATGTGAGAAACTGTATCAAGCATCTGTAGAAATGACACAAAGCAAGAGATAGTCTGCGACTATATATTTGAAGAATTTCAAAAATGCCCCACATCCAGGCAACATGAGCGTATGTACATTGATCGTCTCTTCACAGTGACACAAAGGCGAATAAGATAAGCTCTCGCAGACTTTGCAGGCTGGAGGTAGGGTTTTTGAGGGGAGTGGAGGTGTTGGGGGGGTCAGTGAGGGCTGATACAGAGCAGAAAACAGACTATTCTAGTGCAGCGGATCACTGACGAGAAGTACAGGGGGCTTGTGGGTGAGTTCATGGAAACGGGGCTGGATCCAGACTGTCACAAAGATAACTCGACACCAACTGATTTGTTATTTTTTTATTTTATTTTTTTATCCTCACCTGAGGACATTTTTCCTTTTTTTTTTTCAGATAGAGTGGGAGAGAGAGAGAGAGAAACATCAATATGAAAGGGACACATCAAGTGGCTGCTACCCCACGACCAACCAAGGCCGGGGACAAACCGCAACCGAGGTATGTACCCTTAGCAGGAATCGAACCCAGGTCTCTCTGGACCGCAGGTCGACGCTCTAACTGCTGAGCCAAACTGGCCAGGGCTGATTTGTTATTATAATTCTATGACTATCCGCTTTCATTTATTGAGGACTATAAGAGTTAACATTTACTGAATTCTTATGGCAGGGACCAAGTGCTTAAATGAATTAATCATTTAATCTTCACATAACCCATAACCGATAAGGAGCTACTATTAGTTCCATTTTACAATCAAGAAACCAAGGCCTTGGACCCAAGGCCCCAGGTTACACAGAAAATAGTGGCAAAGCCAACAGAGCCTGGGGCCAGGAATTGAACCTGCAACCAAGGTAAGTGCCCTTTACCAGGAATTGAACCCAAGACTCTTCCGTCCGAGGACTGACACTCTAACCACTGAGCCAAACCGGCCAGGGCAGATCCCACGCTCTTAACCACTGCACTAAACTTCCTCCCTTGGTCCTTCATCGATCCCACATATTTTTATTGGCACCTCATATGCACTCAGAACCCTGCCTAAATGCTGAGATTCACAAGACAACAACTTGAAGCCCTTATCCCTAAAAGGTTCACAGTCTAGTGGGGGAGGAGGGATCGATAAATAGAAACACAGTATATAATGCACCATGTCGGAGGTAGGCAGGATGTTGTTGGAACCCAGAGGACGGACACTCAACCCCAGCAGGCTGGGTGTGTAAGCAGGCCAGGAACCGACTTAGAAGAAGTGAATCTGAGAACCCGAGTTCAGTTGCGATTTCCTGGGGGTCAGACGGCCCTCGCTGCTCTGTCCCTGCCCACCACCCCCACCTCGTTTAGTCCCTTGCCTTTCACACCTGCTGCCACACCAGACCCTGGCTTCATTGCGAGTATTTGACCGGGTAATACACTCTCCTATGTCTGGCTCTTTACCTCTTTTTCTTATTCTCCACCTGTGACCTTTTCTCAATGTGCAATCAAACGGGTCAGATTTCCAGGAAGCCTCTCCTAACACACCTGGGTCTGGGCCTCGGGTATGTGGAGTTTTGTCTCACTGCATTATGAGTGTTCGTTCACTTCTCTGTCTTTCCCATGAAACTGCAGACTCCATGAGAGAATCCCAGACCCTCATCGTGACCAAGGGAAGACCAAGGAAGCCTTGAGTTATGTCTAATACCTCTTACAATGGTAACATGAAAGAAAAAGTTCCCTAGAACATACCTGTCCATTTATCTCTGTCCAAGCTCCAGGGACTTTATCATGACCTCGGATCCAGTTATGTAAAACTTCAGCAGACTGATCCCAAGAAATCTAGGAAAGCACAAAGCACAGGCTGAACCTCCTGATGCTGACAGTGCCAAAGGCAACAGAAACATTTCTCTCTGTCAGAAGTAGAAGTGGGTGGGGTGGGGGCGACTGACTTGGGGATCTACCTTTGGGCAAAAATGGTACATTGGGGACCACTTAAAGATCGAGGGCCATGAATTTTGAAACGTGTTACTGAGTTGGTATAAATACCTCGGCATTTTCCTTTCTCTGGATGGCTTCATATGTTGCCCCTTCTTCTGGCTGGGGAATCCGAGGAGCTTTTCCATCAGCTATGAGTTGAACAGCTTCCACCTAAAGCCGGAAATGTTACCTGTGTTACAGCCCAACGGGCAACGGTGGCATGCCCTGTTTAACTGAAGTTACACTGGATTTCTACATAAATCTGTCCAGAGAGGCAGACTATGATACTAACTAGCATTTCTTCACATCCATCTGTGTGCTAGGCAGTGTGGTTGATACTTCATGTGAGATACTGCTTGCAACATCACACCAGTCCTGCAAGGTGGATATTATTATTCCTGTCTCACAGATGAGGAAAATGAGGTTTGGCTCAGCAGTTAGAGTGTCAGCCCACAGACCAAAGGGTCATGGGTTTATTTCCTGATCAAGGGCACGTATCTGGGTGCAGGTTTGATCCCTGGCCCCAGTTGGGGTTGTGCAGGAGGCAATCAGTTGATGTGCCTCTCTCGCATCAATGTTTCTCTCTCTCTCCCCCCCCCCCTCCTTTCCAACCCTATCTAAAAATCAATAGAGCCCTGGCCCATTTGGCTCAGCGGTTAGAGCAATGGCCTGCAGTCTGGAGAGACCGGGTTGGGTTGCCGCTAAGGGCATGTACCTCGGTTGCAGTTTGTCCCTGCCCTGGTTGGGTCATGTGGATGGCAAGCACTCAATGTGTCCCTTTCACGTCAATGTTTCTCTCTGTCTCTCTCTCCCTCCCACTCTACCTGAACAAAATATCAAAAAATGTTCTCGGGTGAGGATAAAAAAATATCCCTGGGTGAGGATTAACGCCCCCCTCCCAAAAAAAAGAAAGAAAAGTTAAGCAATTAGCTTGAAATTGGTAGATGTCAGAAGAAAGATCTGCATCCAAGTCTATCTCTGCCAATTATCAAGTCTGTAGTTCCTTGTTTAAACAAATTTCAACCTCTCCTTAATGATTCAATGGGAATTTCAGGTATATAATTGTAAAATAAGTCATTATGAGTTATTTCTACTCATCATGATGATTCCAGACAGTGATGCAATGTTATATGTAAATAATTCAATGTGCTTTCTAGCTTAGGACATCTGGAACTTAAGAAAGTTAGCATTGCCCTGGCCGGTTTTGCTCAGTGGTTAGAGTGTTGGCCCGAGGACCAAAGAGTTGTGGGTTTCATTCCAGTCATGGCCATGTACCTCCATCGCAGTTCGGTCCCTGGCCCTGGTCAGGGCCATGCAGAAAGCAACCAGTCGATGTGTCTCTCTCACATCGATGTTTCTCTCTTTCTCCTTCCCACTCTATCTGAAGATGAATGGAAAAATACCCTGGCGGAAGGAAGGAAGGAAGGAAGGAAGGAAGGAAGGAAGGAAGGAAGGAAGGAAGGAAGGAAGGAAGGAAATACCCAGGAGTTTGATTGCCTTTCAGATGTGTCCTGCATTCTCTTCCACACCATATTTATGTTTGCCTTGGGTAGAGAGCCTCTCTCCTTCACTGGGAGATCTATGTGAGCTCAAGTTCTCAGCTTTTTCTCTAAGCTCTCACAGCAGCTGACCAACCTCCCCAAGAGCACATGGGGGAAGCTGCCTGAAACAAGGACATGTTTACATCTCACTCATTCTACCCACTTCTAGCTCTGATATCAACTGGGCTTAGGCACAGGGACCAGGTCTGAGCAAACGCCACTGAACACACATAATACTATTTTTATTACTATCATTTTTGAGCACCTATTGTGTGCCAGGTGCTTTATACAAATGCCATTTAATTTTCAAAACAACTACCAATCAGGTGGTATTAGCTACATTTTATAAATAAGGAAACCAAGGCTAGAGAGTCTAAGTGACCTGCCTATTGTCATACAATAAATGAGTGGTAGAATGAGAACTTTGATGTCATTAAATCATTAAATGATACAAACAAACCATTGCTCTGCTCCCTCTGAAATTAAAGGCTGCTGCTCTATATCAGCTTCCTGCCCATCTCTGTGTTGCTACTTCTACCATATCAAACTCTGGAAACATTAAATGACAGTAAAATTGTCTTTCAATACTTTTACAGGCTTATATTGTTTACTTTGTGGTGTACATGCTCTTAGCTTTTTACCCAGGGCACATCTGAACACATAGAGCAATACCAAAATTCACCCCATTATGCAGACTGATTTCAAATGCTTTTGAAGGAAGTCCAAATTACAGAGCAAAATTTCTTTCTTCTTTTATTTTTTTTAGAGCATTTTTGTATTTATCTTCAGATAGAGTGGGAGGGAGAGAGAGGAAGAAGCATTGACGTGAAAGGAACACATCGAGTGGCTGCCACCCGCACGACCAAACAGGGCCGGGGACAAACTGCAACCGAGGTACATGCCCTTAGCGGGAACCGAACCCAGGTCTCTCTGGACTGCAGGCCGATGCCCTAACCGCTGAGCCAAACCGGTCATGGCTCTCTGCACTTCTTTACAATTACTCTTATAAACAGGGTTGGAGATGTAAGTATTTGGCAAAATAATTGAAGCAGTTTCATTGCTAGTTCATCCATGTGATCACTGCTCTCAGAAGATCAAATCAGCTTTACAGACTAGAAGTTTTAAAGTTCAGATTTCCGCCCTGGCCAGTTTGGCTCAGTGGTTGGAGTGTTGGCCTGCGGTCCGGAGAGACTTAAGTTCGGTTCCCGCTAAGGGCACGTGCCTCGGTTGCAGTTTGTCCCCAGCCCTGGTTGGGGCGTGTGGGTGGCAACCACTCGATGTGTCCCTTTCACGTAGATGTTTCTCTCTCTCTCTCCCCCTCCCACTCTATCTGAACAAAATATCAAAAAATGTCCTTGGGTGAGGATTAAAAAAAAAGTTCAGATTTCCACACTAAACATACCATCCTTTTGGTAAATGTAAAATCTAACTTTGTTTTTCAGATTTATATTTTTAGTAAAAATTCTTAGGAGCAAATTTCCAATAAAAGAAAAATATCTTTACATTTTAAAGGTTGACTAAATTCTTTTTGATGGCATAAACATACTGACCATGGCCTTGATTCCTTCGGGGAAAAGAAATCGATTATAAAGTGCGTCCACTGTGTCATTGGGTTTGATATCACATGACCTCTGAAGAAGGATAGGTCCTGTGTCTAAACCGTCATCAGCCCAGAAGACAGAAAATCCAGCTTTCTTATCTCCCATAATTAGAGTCCTGTGGGGAGAAAAAAAGTTTCAACTTAAATGTTGGTTAACTATCATAAAATGATGAATTAGTGATAGTGTGGCAGGATAGTAAGAAGCTGGGAAAATTCCTCGGCAAGTGGAATGGAGAAACTGACACAGGAAAATTAAACAAATTCAAATAGTTTGGGCAGCTTGCAGCTAGCTTGTGAATCACAAGATCTTATCTTCTCCAGCCAAGGACACTTGGGAGCAAATGGTTACTACCTCTTTCCTAACCAGAGACTCTAAGGCAGGAGGATGGGAAGGGGGAAAGAAGGGAGTTTATCTCACCCACCGAACAAAGAAGTCAGCAGTCTTGGAACTTGCCAAGATAAAATCGCCAGATGTTCTCATAAATTCTCAGAAAAGCTACAACAAAGTAAAAGGGGGACCTTGAAATCTAGTCTGTTGCCCAAGAGAGCCAGCAGAGGAACATTGAAACCTATAGGGAGAAGGGTATAAAACTCCTGAATTCCCACCACGTGGGGCGCTCAAACTAGCTGGGTGCCTGCTTGTGCTATATGCCAAATGTATTTTTAATACATTTGCTTGGCCCTGGCCAGTTTGGCTCAGTGGTTAGAGCGTCAGCCCATGGACCAGAGAGACCCAGGTTTGGTTCCTGCTAAAGGCATATACCTCAGTTGCAGTTTGTCCCCACCCCAGTTGGGGTCGTGTGAGTGGCAGCCACTCGATGAGTCTCTCTCCCATAATGTTTCTCTCTCTCTTTCTCCCTCTCTCCCTCCCACTCTATCTGAAGATAAATGCAAAAATGTCCTTGGGTGAGGATTAAAAAAAAAAAAATTTGCTTGCCTTGCTTCCTTAATAAATTTGCTTGCTTTGCTACAACACTGCTATCTGTAGCTCATCTGAAATCTTCCTTACAAGATTAACAGGAGCTGACCTGGCCGGTTTGGCTCAGCGGTTAGAGCGTCGGCCTGCGGTCCTGAGAGACCCGGGTTCGGTTCCCGCTAAGGGCGCGTACCTCGGTTGCAGTTTGTCCCCGGCCCTGGTCGGTTGTGCGGGTGGCAGCCACTCGATGTGTTCCTTTCACATCGATGTTTCTCTCTCTCTCTCTGTTCCTCTCTCTCCCTCCCACTCTACCTGAATAAAAAATGGAAAAATGTCCTCGGGTGAGGATAAAAAAAAAAAAGATTAACAGGAGCTGAGGAGGGAACAGCCCTCCTCCTACGACTCTAGTAAAGTACAAGGTAGTTACAATGGAGAGTTGATGGTAAATGAAGCTACTGTGAGATATTAATAGTAGAGCCAGAAGATATCACCATTCATAAAAAGCGGTATTTAATGGTACTGCTATTTTATGCATCCACATGCATAAAATGTCTTGTTAACACATACTGATGACTTATAGCCTACTGAAAAAGGCATTAGAGTCCATCATTATTAACACTCACTGACTCCCTGGTATCAGCTTTCTACTGCAGCAACAAGTAATTTTTCCTACCTGCGTCCAATTCTTATATCGTACTTGACCCTGTATTAGGCAGAATAAGATAATGGAAGATAAAACTGAGAATACTCAATGCAACGTGAAGAGGAAAACTGATTATTAATTTAAGTTGTGTAATTCAGGAATATGTTAGAGCTAGAAGTAGGTCTAGATTGTCTGAATAAATTGTAGTAAAAGATGGTTGATTAATTCAACTATTTGTATTTTGGGCTCTTTAAAACTTAGCCTAAGAGAAAATGCCAGCCCTCCGGAAGTTTATAATACTTGCAATAAGTAGGATATGTGGGCAAATACATATAAAAGCATATCAGATAACAGCCTAGCCCTGGCCGATTTGCTCAGTGATTAGAGCATTAGCCTGCGGTCCAGGGAGACCCAGGTTCGGTTCCCACTAAGGGCATGTACCTCGATTGCAGTTTGTCCCTGGCCCTGGTTGGTTGTGTGGGTAGCAGCCACTCGATATGTCCCTTTCACCTTGATGTTTCTCTCTCTCTCTCCCTCTCACTCTCTCCCTCTCACTCTATCTGAACAAAACAATGAAAAAATGTCCTCGGGTGAGGATAAAAAAAAAGATAACAGCCTAATATAGACTGAGCCATGCTCACGATTTAAATCATTTTTACTTCTCTAAACAATTAATCAATCCAGGCCTAAATCAATCAACCAATCAATCACTCTTCAGAAATGTTGAAGAATTAATTAGCATTATGTTATCAAGATCCTTGAGGATATCCATATACTTTGACCCAATGATCCTGCATGTAGAAGCAATGTGAAATGAAAAAAAAAAATTACAAGTTTAAGTACACAGATATGTTCTAGAGTACTATTTACAGAGCAAAAAAAAAAAAAAAAAAAAATCAATTTATGTAAACAGATTTCAAATACAATGAAATGTTCATCACACTTAAATTGTGTAGATTTTTCTGCCTATTCAATAACCTGACACTGAGATATCTGGGAGATAAGCAGGTAAAGGAAAGAAGTTAAGAAGGTGGGAAAGGCCCACCTCAACTCACAACATAGTGTACCTATGGTATCGGGTACCTATAGTATACTGGGGATTGTTCTTGATACTGGGAGATACAGCAATAAGATCATTAGGCCATAGTCAATGAATATAATTTCAGGTAATTCAGCATTTATGGAAATGTACTTGAGATGTTCTATGCAAAAAACAGCTCTAAGGTCAAATAGTTTGTTAACACTGCACTCAGATTTCCTCCTGGAGTTTATGATGCTAATATAAAGGCACATACTTCATGCTCTAACAAGTCAGCAATAAAGAAATCCAGCATAAACCAAGGTTGTCTGGCCATAGAACCTTTGCTTAATATCTAGTTACAGCCAATTCTTTCTGAACCGCAGGCCGACGCTCTAACCGCTGAGCCAAACCGGCCAGGGCAACAGCCAATTCTTGTAACCTAGTTACAGACCATTCTTGGGAAATGCTGTTTTGTCTTACGCAATACCTCCAACTCTCAGGGCAGTTCAGGCAATAGTAGCAATCATGCAGGACCTCACAATTGTTCAAACATACTTAGTTCCTTGACCACTTAGGTAAGAAACAGAAAGATTATGGGCAACAGAAATAGGCCCATCTTCTCTGTTATTCAAAAAATCTCACCAGTTGATAGCAGAGGCTCCTCTGTGCCTGGGAAGGATGGACGGGTGATAAATGATGGAACCGTGCTTTGGACTGTCAATTACATCCATGGGGATGAACTGTGTGCAGAAAGGAAGCACGTTTAGCTCGGCACCCACGGATCTGTAGGCCTCTGCCACCTCCTTTATGGTCTTGCCCTTGACTCTCCATCTAGGGAACTTGAACACTGGGGTCCCATCTTTCTCTGCGGCCAAAGCTGAGCATGAGAGAGAAGATTGTTTTCATTATAAATAATTTTAGCCATAATTTGATATTGCAATGGATTTATACATTGTAATTTTATAGCTTTGTCATTTGCAAATAAAACATGGTGAAGAATAATTTAGACTCTGGCTAGGATTTGACCTGTTACAATTTTACTGTGAACCATTGATTTTTCTAATGTGATTTTTATCTATACATTTAAGGTATAATGTTTGAATTCAAACGTTTGTGGCTAGATAACATTTTGAGGTTTTAACTGAAGCTTTTTCTTTTATAGATCAAAATGTGTACCTCTGTTACTGATCGAGGCATTTAAAGAACATTTGCTTGTGTTTTAGATTTGGAGCCTGGGGCCAACGCATTCCCAAGCAAATGACACATAACCTCCAGCACAGTTGGGAAGCCTCAAGTTTCTTCCCATTCCTGCTTCTTTTTTTTTCAATCCTCACCTGAGGATATATTTTTTTTTCTATTTATTGTCAGATAGAGTGGGAGGAAGGGGGAGAGAGCGGGGAAGAGAGAGAGAAAGAGAAACATCAACATGGGAGGGACACATTGACTGGTTACCCCACCCCACCCATGACCTCGACCAGGGCCAGGGTCCAACCACAACCAAGGCACGTGCCCTTGGTCAGAATCGAACCTGCAACTCATTGTTCCACTGGCCGACACTCTAACCACTGAGCAACCAGCCAGGGCTCACTTCTGCTTCTTGAAGGGATTCATTTTCATCACAGGGAAAACTAAACCAGGACACAGTCCCTGCCAAGCAGGCACATCCCAAAAAATGAAGAAAGAAAGGAGCTGAGCTGAGCCTGTCTAGTTCCTTCTCCAAAGTTGGCCAATCCGATAAGTTGGTGGAGAACTTATCGGATTGGCTAAGACTGAAGAATACAGGCTCCCTGTAAGGGTTCAGCCACCCTGGAGCAGATCCGAGGCTCTGTCCTGAGAAAATGTCCCTTCTAAAGGAATGATGCCATTCTACCTACCTCTGTGCAATGAAACGGCCCTCCAGAGCAGACAGCACAGGCGCATTTTCCATACTAAAATGTCATTTTTACTAACCACATACCCTAAAAGATTAAGTATATTTATTTTCCATCAGTAACACAGAGTGACTACATTTTAGGCTTTTAACCTATATTTTTGTGGTTCCCTTTCCTCCTCTTCATCCAATCATCAGTATTCACTGACTCCAGATGGGATGCCTACCCAGTAAATCTTGAAGGACTCTGGCCATCAAGGTGATGCCTTGATCAATTCATTTGGAAGAATCTGAGAGACTGGTATAATGATGTTCACAAAATGTAAAGGTTCATAAAATGTCCAAAAACTGTAAACAACTCAAATGTCAGATGATAGGAAAATGGATGGTTTAAAAAAATATGAAATTGGGCCTGGCTGGTGTGGCTCAGTGGCTGAGTGTTGACCCATGCACTAAGAGGTCGCCGGATGAATTCCCAGCCAGGGCGCATGCTCAGGTTGTGGGCCCGATCCCCAGTGAGGGGCATGCAGGAGGTGGCTAATCGATGTTCTCTCTCATTGATGTTTCTATTTCTCTCTTCCTCTCTCTAGAATCAATAAAGAAAAAAATATTTTTTTAAAAAATGAGAAATTGGAAGAAAATTGTGAAAGGTTAGACTGGGAAAGAAAAATAAATGGAAGAGACTTAAAAACCTACTCCACTGAGACAGGCTGAGACATCCAGGTGTTCTCTCATATTGATTTTTCGTTGCTCTAGTTGACTATTCTAATAATAAGAATAGTTAGCTGCTGTCATTATATGTTTTTTTTATCAACCAAGTGCTGAGCACCTAACATACATTATCTTATTTATTCTATGTGAAATAGGTACCCATGAAGCTTAGTGAGTTTAACTAACTTGCCCAAGATCACCCAGCTAGTAAGTGGCAGAGTCAGAATTAATTTCATTATTACAGAACATACACTGTTTACCACCTCTCAGTTTACTCTATAAGCCATATTGGTATATTTTCTTTTCTAAGTTATGCCAGGAGACCAAACGTCCCTGACCAATGGAAAGCAGGTCTTGACCCTGGGAAAGGTATGAGGGAAAAGTTCATTTCTCCGGACCGCAGGCCGACGCTCTAACCGCTGAGCCAAACTGGCCAGGGCGAAAAGTTCATTTCTTAGGACATACTCTGAAAGGTCTGAGTCACATGCTTGCAATTCTTCTAAAGTTCATGTACATGATAGAGACAGCTAGGTGACCCCCCCTTCATCCTTTATCAGTGGATTCCTATCATTTAGTTGCACACATAGCCACACTGAATAAAATCTATATTTCTCAGCTGTCCTGCAAATTGATTTGGCCTGTAAGTAAATTCTAGCCAATGAGATTACATGTAGGAATAATATGAGCAACTTCTGGATTATACCCTTAATGAAAGAATTGCCCTCAACTTTTCTTCGCCTTCCTGTTTGCTGGGATGCTGAGTTGATAGTCAGGACTGCAGATGCGACCTTGGACCACGAGATGAAGCCCAGTGTTGATAATGGCAAAACAACAAATAGAAAGAGGCTGCACTGTGAAATACAAAACTGTCACAACAGCTCTGGTAGCCAACCCAGACTCGAGAAACAGACTTCATCTAAATTTAAGGTAATATTATTTGGGGTCTCCCTGATACAACAGTCAAACATGTCTTTGCAAATATCACCACACAAAACTAGTGAAAATAGGTAATGATGAGACAGGTAGTCCTAGTAACAGGAATCATTCAAAAGCAAGATGTTGGAGCCATGTATAAAAATTCATGAGGCAGCTTCCCTCAGAATTTCCCAGGTTGAGGAAACCTTTTTCTGATACAAGGATAATTTCTAAATCAAGTGATTCAATTCATGTGCATATGGGCTCTTGACCCAACTTTATTTTTTAGCTTGACTCCTAAAAAACAATATTAAAATACAATATTTTAAAAAGCAATAACAAGAATTAGGATAAACCCCAGAGCTGCTTCTTCCAAGAAAAAGAGTAAAATCTTAGGGTTATTAGTATTTTGTTTTCCAACCACTGTGTTGCATCATACCAGTGACTCATGAAGTACCAAGTCATAAGCCAATATTTCTAGACACTAGTCCTATGCTTAACCTGTTTTATCTGTAGACTGTTTCTCTCTCTATGTCTTGCACCCTTTCTTGGGATGACTATAGCGTGCAAATCAGAACCACTCTGCAGGTTTGCTCGAATAATGGCTGTCTTCTTTAGCTACCTTAATCACCAGGCAGTCCTGGCTATAATTTGTTCCGAGATAGGTGCCTTCTTTATGACCCCGCATCAATATCTATGATTGGGTGTGGCCTTCCCTGTATTCCTGTCAGCACCTCTGCATCAGATATTATTCTTTGGAAAGTCACAAGTGCAACTCAAAAAAAAAAAAAAAACATGGAATACTCTGGTGGACCTGATGATTACCACAGAGGTAAGTGGAGAAACTCGATATAACAGTGGCCTGCCTGCTCCTTTGTCCTGGGGCCACACAGAAGGGAGAACTTCATACTCTGTATCCACCAAGCCAATAGACTTTGCTCGATGAGGCTTTCAATAGGTCCAGTGGATGCCTCAGAGCCCAGGAGGGAGGCATGCAATCTGGGTCTCCTGGGCCTGTGGCAAGTGAGTGGAAGTACGGAAATGCTAATGAGAGATGAGGCTTCTGAGCTGCGTCCCAGCCTGCATGGTGGAAAGGCCAGTTCAAAGTCCTTGAGCCAAGATACACTCACCCAGTGGGTCAGCTTTTCCATCCTTGTCTGGAACTGTGAACACCCCCACGACTCGATGGCCCTCTTTGCAGAGGTGGTTGTAGACCTCTTGTCCAAAGAGGCTCTGACCAATAAGGGCCAACTTCAGCTTGTTTTTGAAATAAACCTGTGAAACAATTTAATGATGACAGATGTTAGAATGGATAGAAGACATATGGAGTATATTCCTTTTTCAATCATTCAAGATGACTTGAGGACGACAAAAGGCTCAAAGATCTACTAAATAGTTTTGCTGACACACACACACACACACGTATATATACTCATGAAAATAATTATATATATAATTGGTGAAAAATATATATATATATTAGTGAAAATAATTTCACTCCTAAGTATTCCTCATGTTTTCTTTGCTCGAAATCCCTTGATTATTCATCGTAAACATGAGGATTGCATAATTTTTACAAGGCACTTCAACTCCTTGATGCAATAGGCAAGATATTAACAAATAAGCTAAGTTACATAGTTAAAAGTAGTTTAATTCTGAGCAAGATCCATTTCAATATGACAATGCTTTTATGCCCCTGCAGTATATAAATTAGAACTGTACTCATTTCTTACCCACAAAAGAGGTCACAAGCTAACATGTAGTATAACATAAAGGTCAAAAGCAGACCCTAGCCCGGCTGGCGTGGCTCAATGGAATGAGCATCGTCCCATGGACTGAAAAGTCCCAGTTCGATTCCTGGTCAGGGCACATGCCCAGGTTTCAGGCTCGATCCCCAGTAGGGGGCATGCAGGAGGCAGCCAATTGATGTATCTCTCTCACATTGATGTTTCCATCTCTCTCTCCCTCTCTCTCTAAGAAAATCAATAAAAACATATTTTTTTTAAAAGCAGACCCTAGAGTTAGAGTATCTGAGGTCCAAACCTAGTGCCACCCACGTGTTATTAGTTGTGTAGCCTTAAGCAAGTAACTATTTTCTGCTTGCCTTTTTATAATCTATAAAATGGGAATAATAATGTCACCAACTTCATACAATTTTGAAGTAAATAACTTAATATGCAATAGGATTAGTGCAGTGTCTGACACCAAGTACTGTCCCCCCTTATTGATTTTAGAGAGAGAGGAAAGGAGAGGGAGAGAGAGATTGGCCGAGAGAGAGATAGAAACTCGATGAGAGAGAACATCGATTGGCCGCCTCCTGCATGCCCCCCACTGGGGATCGGGCCCACAACCTGGGCATGTGTCCTGACCGGAAATTGAACCAGCAACCTCTTTGTGCATGGGGTAACGCTCAACCACTGAGCCACACCGGCCAGAACCAAGTACTGTTTAAGTAAAAGCTTTAATAACATTTTAAAGGTTTCACTACACACTAAACACTGTTTTATGTTTTTATTTTTTTATAAAGCTCAAAATTCCAAAATCCTTAGTAAGTGGATCCAACTCACTTGGCCTCAAAAAGTGGATTGATCTAATGGATCATTCTTCATGTTCCTTGTAGTTTTCTTATAAGTTTGCACAAAGTCTTTTGGCTTTAAACCTGACCTGAACTGACATAATGCTATTCATAGTCTTTATAATATTTGTAAAAATTATATGAATATTCATGTTTTGCTGCAGAAAAATTAATGTCTTTGGTTACAGACACTGTCCAGACCCTGCTGTGAATTGTATGTAATGGACTAAGCATCACATTAGCTAAATTGAATAATTCTGAACCCCAAACACATGTGGCCCCACACATTTCAGATAAGGCACTGAGGCCTCTACATCACTTCATTTTATGTGACTCACACAACTATCCTATTATTATCCCCCATTTTATTAATGAGATACCAAGGCCTAGAAATGTCTAGTATATCCCCAAGGTCCTGCTGGAAGACAGGAGTGCAGCTGGTATTTGAATCCAGGTGTCTGACTCCAAAGTCTATGTATGTACTTAAATATCAAGTCATTAAAATGAGCTACCATCACCCATCTGTTCTCATCTTCTTTTTAGGAAATTAACACGGATGCACAAAAATGCAGTGACTGTCAAGAATATAAACACCACAGACATAAGAATAGTACTAAAGGGGTTAAAGTTTTTTTTTTTTTTTTTATTGATTTTTTTAGAGATAAAGAAAGGGAGAGAGAGAGAAACATAGATGTGAGAGAGAAACATCGATCAGCTGCCTCCTGCACACCCCCTACTGGGGATGGAGCCAGTAACCCGGGCTGTGCCCTGACGGGGAATCGAACAAGGACCTCTCAGTCCATGGGATGACATTCGATCCACTGAGCCACACCAGCTGGGTTAGGGGTTCAAGTTTTTAAGGATTGTCTCTAAGCAATTATGCCTTCTGTAAAGTCTCCCCAATGGAGCCTTGTCACAGAGCTTAAGGTGGTGAAAAGCCACCAGGTGAGTAGGCTAAAAGCAGAATTGTGGGTGCAGAGAGTGTAATTAGAGGGTCATGAATTCCCAGGCGTTTTCCCTTTTGGTGACAGACCAACCCCAAAACTCTTTCCACCTTTATTCCTCCATGTTAGAATTAGAATGTTTCCTCCCTCAACAATGGGATTCTGAACTAGTAAAGCCTCACTGTGAAAATCTGATTATAAGGAGGCTTAACTTTTTATTCCCCACTTTATTAAGGGCATGAATGGCATCCCCTTTTAAGCATACAGGCTCACACCTTCCCTGTAATTGATCTGATAGTTAAACAAATAAGGTTTTAGTTTAAAAATCCTTTTCCAGCCCTGGCCTGTTTGGCTCAGTGTTTAGAGCATCGGTCCTCAGACGAAAGGGTTTCTGGTTCGATCCCGGTCAAGGGCACATATCTGGGTTGCAGGTTGATTCTCAGCCCACATTGGGGTCATGTGTGAGGCAACCAATCAATGTGTCTCTCTCACATTGATGTTTCCCTCTCTCTTCCTCTCTCCCTTCCACTCTGTCTGAAAATCAGTGGAAAAATATCCTCAGGTGAGGATTAACTAAAACAAAAACAAAAACAAAAAAGTCCTTTTCTAGGACCAGCTGAAGTTTCTATGCCAAAAGAGCCTAGAGCTTCAACGTCTAACAGATACTTGCAAGCGAATAAATTAGCTCTGTAACAACAGTACAATTCGCCTAAGAAAATGTGTGACTATTTCATTTCTTCTCATCAAAAAATCTGAATGTTCTGTAAACATTCCATCTTCAAATCCTATAATTAATGCTGTGGCTTGAAATAGAACTTACATGTTGGCTATCTTACAAAATTTGACTTTACCTCATATCATCACCAATGCCAGACATTTTAAATATCTGAAATACTACTCTTGAAACTCAGGAGCCAAGAGGCTGAGCTGACTCAAATGTCAGCTTTCATCTGATTGTTTGGAGTTCAAATTCAGATTCAACACGCCTCCAGAAAGACAGAGTTTAAGGAAACTGCGTCAGTTTCTTTGGAAATACTACATTCATTGAAACATTGTCCCAGCTCATTGCAAAGGCTGGTTACAAAGGTGAGTTTCGAACACTGAGAAATTTTCAGATGTTAATTACTTTAAGTGTGTGTTTATAATGAGTTAGAATAATTTAAAAAACAACAACAACAAAAAACTGGATCGGGATATTTTTACCTTAGTCTTATTTCTCCAAATATAATCTGAAGACTCACTGTCGGTGTTGGCAGAATCAGCCGGGAGGGTATATTAAAAATGTGGATTCCTGGGCCCCATCCCAGGCCCAGGAGGCTGCGTTTTAACCAAGTCTCCACTGACTCACAGGCATAGAGTCTGAGGATCTCTGCTTTCTGGAGGGTGCATGTCTGCCGACTAGAAAAAAGAGTCTGCCCTGGAGAGTTTGGATCAGAACGAAGGGGTATAAATATTGGCAAACATCCCTGGCCAGTTTGGCTCAGCGGTAAGAATGTCGCCCACAGACCAAAGGGTCCTGGGTTTGATTCCGACCAAGGCCACATACCTCAGTTGCTGTTTCTCCCAGGCCCCGGTTGGGGTTATGCGGGTGGCAACCAATCGATGTGTTTCTCTCTCCCTCTCTATCTCTATCTCTATCAAAAAACTATTATAATAAAATAAAAAAAGAAATATTAGCAAACAGTTTAATGAGACCCTGAGTTATTTTTATATATATATAAATATATATCACTTCCTTTTGATTGCCCAGTGATTCTTGGAGGTAGGCATTATTAAGCCATTTTACAGTTAAAGAAATTGAAACACAGAGAAGTGAAGATATAGCACAGAGTCAAAAAGCTACTAATGGTAGTCTTGAGATTCTAACGCTGGTTATTAACCCAGTACCCATTGTTCTTCCTTAACACCAGCTGTCCCATCTTGAGTTGAGCTTCATCAATTAAAATCTGAATAATAGCCCTGGCCAGTTTGGCTCAGCTGTTGGAACGTTGGCCTGTGGACCAGAGAGTCGTGAGTTCGGTTCCCTCTAGGGGCACATACCAATAAATAAATAAATAGGCAGTTTCCATTAAAAAAAATCTGAATAATATGACCTGGCCGGTTTGGCTCAGCGGTTAGAGCATCGGCCTGCGGTCCGGAGAGACCCGGGTTCGGTTCCCGCTAAGGGCACGTACCTCGGTTGCAGTTTGTCCCCGGCCCTAGTTGGTTGTGCGGGTGGCGACCACTCGATGTGTTCCCTTCACATCGATGTTTCTCTCTTTCTCTGTTCCTCTCTCTCCCTCCCACTCTACCTGAACAAAAAATGGAAAAAGGTCCTCGGGTGAGGATGATAAAAAAAAAAAAAAAAAAATCTGAATAATAATAGTATCTATCTCATAAGGGAGTTATAAGGATTTAGTGGGATAAAGCACGTGATGCATTCATGCAGTGTGTGTCAATAGTAAACGCTCAATAAATGTTAACAACTATTATTATACCATAAGTAACACCTAGGCAAATAAAAATGATGATAATGGATCTTTCCTACTGGGAATATACCATGAGCCTGGCACTGCATTGAGCTCTTTTCGTAATTCAAAAAAACATATCAAATGCTTATCATATGTCTTTAATCCTCACAATGACCCATTTTACAAATGAGAAAACATAGTTGCTCAGGGAAGTTAAGCAACCTGGCCAAGGACAGGGTGAGTAAGCAGCAGAGGCAGGATTCAAACTCAGATCTATCTCACTTCAGCAGATGCACTTCTATGGCT